ATATGACGTTTCAGTACGCCCTAACTATACTGGGCTTTAATACCATCAGGGTGCATTAACACACCGTAACATTTTGGTGTGAGCAGGGTTAAATCAGGGCTCACACCATGAAATCTCATGTTCAAATAGATACCCATGGATCCCATCTGTCAGATGGGATCATATAATGGCCCCAGACTGTAAAATAATCTGAGTGCAGAGCTCAAAGTGAGTGCTATGTGCAGTAATTGAAATCCCCATTGGCTGCATTGTGGTGTGAGCAGAGTAAAATCCCTGTTTACAACAAGAGACACAGGTATCAACCAGGGGCTATTCTCCCTTAGCCTTTTTTAGTGGCTTCGGCCTGACAGATACGCTGTATGCAGCTCTCAACATGAGCACCGCTATCACAATTTAAACAGGCATTAAAATGCTTATTTCTGCAATGCAGTATGAACATGGTTGAATCATTGCTTACACCAGGGAGTCTCACGTATTAATTGATACCTCTGTCAGCTGGGGACGCATTTTTGGTCCCAAGATGTGATCAGTGGTGTGCTATGCCAGCTGTCCAGCACCGATCGCAGTGTAATTGGTAATCGGAGGTTCAGCACTACAGTTAATTGCCTGTAATGCTGAAAACAGCCAGTAGATGGTGGCAACATACCACGCTCTACTATTTTAACTAGGAAACCCTATGCTGATATCAGTATTGATATTAGCAGAGGGTTTTCTTTGGATTAGGGTTAAGATTAGCGCTACGGGTAGGGTCATGTTTGGGTTAATGTTAGTGCTAGGGTAGGGTTAGTTGTAGGGGTAGGGTTAATCGTTTTCCTGGCACTATAGTGCCCTGAGGGTGCTCCCACCCTTTAGGGACCGCCTCCCGCTGGGCTCTAGGGGGAGGATGGGGTTAACTTACCTCTTTCTCCAGCGCCGGGCGGGGATCTCTCCTCCTCCTCTCTGCCTCCTCTCCTCCTCTTCGGCTGAATGCGCATGCGTGGCAGAAGCCGCGCGCACATTCAGCCAGTCCATAGGAAAGCATTCACAATGCTTTCCTATGGATGCTGGCGTCTTCTCACTGTGAAAATCACAGTGAGAAGCGCGGAAGCCCTCTAGCGGCTGTCAATGAGACAGCCACTAGAGGCTCTGGAGGCTGGATTAACCCTATTATAAACATAGCAGTTTCTCTGAAACTGCTATGTTTATAGAAAAAAGGGTTAACCTTAGCTGGACCTGGCACTCAGGCCACTTCATTAAGCTGAAGTGGTCTTGGTGCCTATATTGGTCCTTTAATTCAAGCATAGTGTTAGTTGTAGGGTTGGGTACACATAATATTAAAAACTCTCAGATATCACAGATCTCTTGAAATAAGAGAGAGATTGTTACTTTACTGAGAGGGTAGTGGATGCATGGAATAGCCTTCCAGCTGAAGTGGTAGAGGTTAACACAGTAAAGGAGTTTAAGCATGCGTGGGATAGGCATAAGGCTATCCTAACTATAAGATAAGGCTAGGGACTAATGAAAGTATTTAGAAAATTGGGCAGACTAGATGGGCCGAATGGTTCTTATCTGCCGTCACATTCTAGGTTTCTATCAGAGTTATTTAAATTATCCCAATGTTTTTTCAGCCTTGGTTGAAAAAGTTGAGCCCTAGAAATAGATCCCAGAGTGTCGTAGACTCTGAAAAACTTAACTGCTGCAAAAATGCAAAACCTTTCTGAACTAAGATGGACAGGACTGGCTTTTTTGTTTGTTTTTTTGTTTGTTTTATGACTGGAGAAAGCTAACTTCTAATTGGTTGCTCACTTCCTGAGCTGTATGATGTGATCTGCAGTAACGCCATAACAGGAAGTTAAGTAATATGTGGGAATGTTTCGAAATGCTCCTTCATACAGGATAAACCTGTGTTTTGTTTTTGTGATTTCCCTTTAATGGGAGAAAATTGGAATGGAAGTTGTTCTCCCAGCCCAAGCCATATCCTATAGTGGACATCGGACTTCAAAGGGAATTATTCAGTGATTTCTATCAACTCAACAGAGTTTGTACTTAGCCAACTTCTAAAGAGCTCTGTAAAGTGTGAGTTCTCCAATTTACCTCACTTTTTCACTATTATTTATACAGATTTCACTATGATGTTTTGTATGTTTACTTTATACAGGATTTTCTTATGAGTTTATCTTGTTAAAGATATACTGAAAAGGTAAAGGTAATCTAAGAGTGCGCTACCACCTTTCTCTTCAGCATTTCTTACATACGAATAGACTCAGGGAGACTTACTGGGTTATTCATGAAAGGAAAAATTGTGGGGAAGTCAAACCGAAATTTAAAAAATGTAGAAATTTAAAATAGCCAAACTAAAAAAAAAATCAGTTTTCCTGGCACTGCAGGTCCCCTTTCCCTCTCACCACCCATCCACGGTTGCTGAAGGGGTGGAAACCCCTTCAGTGACTTACCTGAGACCCCCGCCGATGTCCCTCGGCGGTGGTTTCGGGTCGCCGCCGCTCCTCCCCTTCATCACGTCAGCCGGCGGGGAGACTGATCCCACCCACCGGGTGAGGAGACCTAATGCGCATGCTTGGCAATGCCGCACATGCGCATTAGAGTTCTCCATAGGAAAGCTTTGAAAATGCTTTTCAATGCTTTCCTATGGGAAATTGAGCAAAGCTCGAGGTCCTCACACAGCGTGAGGACGTCCAGCGACGCTCTAGCACAGAACCTGTGCTATGAAGCAAAACCTGTGCTATGAAGCAGGAAGTGACCTCTAGTGGCTGTCTAGTAGACAGCCACTAGAGGAGGAGTTAACCCTGCAAGGTAATTATTGCAGTTTATGAAAACTGCAATAATTACAGTTGCAGGGTTAAGGGTAGTGGGAGTTGCCACCCAGACCACTCCAATGGGCAGAAGTGGTCTGGGTGCCTGGAGTGTCCCTTTAACATTTGAAATTTACTTTGAATTAATGACAATAACCCTGTTTGTTGATATCAGTAAATAATTATTATTATTTTATTATTTATGTAGCGGCAGCAAATTCTGTAGCACTGTACAATGGGTGGACTAACAGACACGTAATTGTAACCAGACAAGTGGAGGCACAGGAACAGAGGGGTTGCGGGCCCTGCTCAATGAGCTTACATTCTAGAGGGAGTAGGTATAGTGACACAAAGGGTATAAGTAGGGGTAATGAATAGGTTGCTAGAAAAGTAATCACTGAGAACTTAGTAGGTTATTTTTGACAGTTGCAGGAGAGGAGTCATGGGGGAGGAGGGGAATTGAAAATCCGCTAACAGTTTAAATGATATGCTTTCCTGAAGAAATGTGTTTTCAAAGATTTTTTGAAGGAGTGGAGACTGGGTGAAAGTCTACCGAAGAAGGGAAGGGAGTTCCACAGAAAAGGTGCAGCCCTGGAGAAGTCTTGGAGGCGAGCATCGGATGTGGAAGTACGGACAGAGGATAAGCGTAGTTCTTCTGTAAAACGCAAGGGCCTTGACATGGCTTATTTGTGTATTAGGGAGGATAGGTAGGTTGGAGCAGCATTATGTAGGGACTTGTAAGCAAGCACCAGAATCTTAAATTAAACCCTTTATCTAACTGGAAGCCAATGTAGGGACTAACAGAGGGGGAGGCGTGGGAGGTGCGTGGAGACAGGAAAATGACCCTCGCCGCCGCATTCATTCTATTCAGAATCAGCGTTATGGTTGCATGCTTAAAGGGTGATGAGATATGAGGGAATTGGATCGAGTGAACAGGTGGTGGGGGAGGACTGGAGCAGAGCAGAAAACCTCTTCTGTTGTAGTAGGTGCGAATGAGCATAGAACAGCGGTGTGAGTGGGTTTGGGTGATGTATTGGAAGGGGAGGAAGAGAGGTTAGAGACCTCTTCCCTGAGTGTAGAAATCTTCTCAGTGAAGTGAGTTGCAAAGTTTGTGGCGGACAGGGTGGTAGGACGAGAGGGAGCAACAGGGCGAAGGAGAGCATTAAAAGTGTGAAATAGTCGTTTTGGTCCGCAGGATAGTGTGGTTATGAGGGTATTGAAATAATTTACTTTTGCAGAGGAAAGAGCCAGAGTGTAGGAGCGCAGCATAAATTTATAGTGGAGGAAGTCAAGTACAGAGTGAGACATTCTCCAATAGCGTTCATATATGGAAATAATCAATGTTTTACCAGTGCTCCTGATGTCAAAATAGATTCAGGTATGTCAGGCAGTCATCAGCCATACCTATATCCAAAAATAATATGTAAAAATTCCCCAAGGTGTAGAACATATGATTTTTTTTAATCTCCCTTAATTACTGTTATAAACTTTGCACACTAAAAGTGGAAAAAATGGCAGTCTACTCAAGAACTCTAGAATTTGGTTTTAATGGTGACTCTGTTAGTTGTATATTAGTTGTACATCCGGGAATGCATGTGGGTTGATTTTCATGTAAAAAAAATTAAATTAAGGAAAAAAAAGTCAATATTTTTCCCATGCAATCTTTCCCAGAACACAATGGCAGATATTTAGCTGGATGCCACAAACATATTAATTGCTGCTAAATAGAAGTTCTGAATAGAGTGTCACATACTTCAGTATGCGAGATGTTCCCTGGAATGTGAAATCCAGCAAATACCATAAACTGATTTACAGCATAACGAGCAACAACAATAACCTATGTTTCACTCGGGTACATCTTGTGTTTTGCATGAGAAGAATGTTCAATAAATGAAAAAGAAACATAATTAAAAGGAATGTAGCATCATATAATGATATTTACCTAAAAATAGGGTCTTCAATTAGTGAGGTTTTGTTACATTTATATACAGCTCAATTTGCATGAAATTATGTTCTATTGTATTATTATTTAGAAATAATAATTGAAGTTGCAATTTACATTTTAGTCAACAATAAATACACATCTATCTATTATTATTATTATTATTGCCATTTTTATAGCGCCAACAGATTCCATGCACGTGGCTGAAACAATGGATGGTCGGCCATCTTGTCTCCCAAACGCTGGCAGTGGAACTTGGTCGTCGAGGGCCTGGAACTAATTTTGGTCAGGCACTCCCATGAACACCGGTCACCATGGACCCACGGCTCGTTCCAGTTCCAGTTCACCTATACGAACAGCATTTGGGAGTTCTGCCAACGCTACAACTACTTAGGACGTACTTGGAAACCAGAGCAAGCTGAACTTTGGTATTATTATTAAGGAGACCATTAATTCTGATAAAATGCCCAAGTCGATTTGCACAAATGCAGCCCCGAACTTGTAAAACACTTCCACCATGCTTCACTGTTGCCTGCAGACACGCATTCTTGTACTGTTCTCCAGCCCTTTGGTGAACAAACTGCTTTCTGACACAGCCAAATATTTCAAACTGTAACACATCATTCCAGAGCACCTGCTGCCATTTTTCTGCACCCCAGGTCCAGAGTTTTCATGAAGAGTTGGGTCATTTGGCCTTGTTTCCATGTTGTAAGCATGGCTTTTTGGAGGCAAGTTGTCCATGAAGACCACTTCTGACTAGACTTCTTCAGTCATAGATGGGCGTACCACTGGTTTCTTCCAATTCTGACAGAATGGCACTGCTGGACATCTTACGAAGGAAAGTAAGCATGATGCGTCATTCAACTTCTGCCCTTAGTTTCCTTGGTCGACCACTGTCTCTGCAGTCCTCAACATTGCCTGTTTCATTGTGCTTATTTAAAAGAGTTTGGATAGCACTTCTGTAAACCCCTCTCTGCTTTGAGAATTCTACCTGGAACATACTTCCCGGTATAACGAGCTTGTGTCGTGACTTTTGGCATTAAATTGTCTTAGAAAACTCACCATGTTAGCAGAGTTTGGCTGTCCCTCATCCAGATTTATTCCTCCTACACAGTTGTTTGTGTTTCACTTAAGGATTTTGTTTCAACGTACGTATTACATTTATGATCATTAGCACCTGTTTGGTATAATTCTTTAAATGTGCACCTGATTAATTTTGTGCACGTGAACCTAGAAGGCAAAAGGTGGACAAACCAAATATTGGTTTAACCTAGATTTTGTCTTCTATTCACTCACTTTGGATTTTGTTGATTGCTAAAAAAATAAAAATAAGGTATTAAATGACCAATAGAGACACTCAGACTCCATCTTTTTAGTTTTAACGCTGCAATGTAAAACATTTGGTTTAGAAACAGCAATGCTTACATTACAGGAAATAAATACTCCTCTAGTGTCTGTTTTCCTGATAACCACTAGAGAGGCTTCTGCTGCGAGAACCGAGTAAAACTCAGTTCTCACCATGAACCACCATTTGATCGGAGTATCACAGCGCTGGCCGCACATGCGCTTTTTGTCCCCAATGTTAAAGGAGCATTGGGTTGGACAAGAAGAAGAGTCAGTGTGACGTCACAGAAGGCAGGTAGGGCATCTGTAGAGACTGGAGGAATAGAACAAAAAGTGAACAGCACCCTCTCCTAGGTTTTTGGGGGGATTTAGGGGGTACTCAGTCTAAATGGTAAGGAGAAAACTATGGCGTTAGGAATACGGGTTTGTACTTCTAACGCTATAGTGTTCTTTTTACATTTCCATTTTTGGAAGCATTCTTACTTTACCATATTTCAGTTATATACCTTATATTCTATATTTACGTTTCCATTAAGCACAAGTCACTGTTTAGTGAATAAACCTTTAAATGTGTTGATTTAGATAAAGAAAAAGCTTGATGGTAAACGATCCAACAATATCAAATAGCGATATTTATTATTTAACTGAAAACACCCCCATTGTACTTCTGTGCAGAATAAATTAGTACTCTGTAAAAAAAATTTAAAAAAAATTGTAATAATAAATAAATAAAAAGCTATTTTATGAATAATGAGTTATTAAGAAACTTTAGGGATTTGGTAAAAGGGTTTCTATTTATAGAAGCAAAGCCTAAAATTACTCTGGAATCTTTGCACGTGCAATCGGGTCACACAGTATTCTAATGACTGCACACAAGTTAGCCGCTTGTATCTTCTGGCAATGGATTTGCTGGCTACTGACATGCCTTTCTGCTTGGCACTATATAGAGGTGAACGGTACAGGAATGTGTCCAGAGTGGTACAGACATCACCAATAGAGACTGCAATCACTGATTATGCCTCTCAATGAAGTCTCATGACTTAGATTTAAACAACGACATATCACTGTGCTTGACCGAAGGAGATAGAGGGACGCAGGGGACACATCCAATTGTCATATCGGACAAATAGAAACTGTGAGTAGCTCAAGATCTCTCTTGATTCATTCAATCTACAGCAAAAATGCAACGTTATGTTCTTTTTTAATGGCATGTAACAATGGCTCAATGTTTTCCAGAAATAACTTCGATTGCCTAAATTGCATTTAAGAAAGACTGATTTATAAAATTTGTACATAAGTATCGGTGAGTTTTTTGTTTTTTTTAATCCTTTAGTTTATCTCAATTCTCTTTTAGAATTAATCTGAGGAGCAAATAATAGGATTAGCAGCAGAGTAATAAGAAATAAAAAGCAGAAAAGAGACAGTAAGAGTAATTTATTAAACTCAGAATGTGCTTCAAATTGCGTAATCTATGGCAAATCCCTGATATAAATCGAGCAGTTCTGTTAAGGTATGTGATAAGGATGGGTCTCAAATCTGCAAATTAGATTTTTGTGTAAATTAGTGCCTGCTAAAACAATGAACCTGGAAAATGTCCAAATTCTATAAAAGTCTAGAAACGTGAGCATTCACTAAACACCAAATTGCCATTATTAATTCAGAGCTAAGTAAATTACGAGCAGCAGCGATTTGATGATTACTGGACAGTCTGATAATATACCAAATATATGAGTTAAAGGTTTGAGTCCAGTGATGAGCAAGCTTCTCACCTTGGGGTAATTTCCAAAAACTTGGATATGGCATTAAAGTCAGTCGGCACAAGAAAGCCTCAGGGATGCCTACATTGTTATTCACTAAAAGTGGAATTCCTTTGGAATTCAAAGCTCAATTTCAAAGTTACTTTTATATTTTTGGCCACAATATACAAGCTGAACATATAACAGACTCAGAAGGTTTTCCAATTTAGCCACTAGCAATGTTTAAAATGTACAATTCACTTTGAATTCACACTGGATAATTAAAGATTTAGTAAATTATATCACTACCAAGTTCAATCAGGGCAAAGCTATGGAAAACATTGCAAATGAAGAGTAAAAATAGAAACATTATCTTTTTCTCTGTATGCTCTCTCTATGCTGACTGCCAGTTGCAAAGGATAGAGCCTATAATAACAATTGCCAGGGGCCAAGATGAAGGTACCGTGTTGCAGAGATTTGGATTTCTGCATTTGATCTCACTTTTCATACCTGCCAAACACATATTTATTATTTAAAGGGTTAAAACTAGAGGGACCTGGCACCCAGACCACTTCATTGAGCTGAAGTGGTCTGGGTTGCCTATAGTGGTCCTTTAATGAAATATAACAGATTGTATTGTATATTTCTGTACTGATTGTAGGAAATAGATATCATTCATGTTGCAATTTAAATAGGACACAATGAAATGATTTTTAAAAATGTAGATATAGAGAGGTCAAATGAAAATGTAATACAAAAAAAATACACTTTTCATGGCTAATGCCACAATTTAGTTAAATAGAGGGGATAAACATTATCTTAATATTTCTAGGAAGTATTTTTCAGAGAGATTTCATTTTGTGTCATCAGTTAAAGGACCACTATAGTGCTAGGAAAACAAACCCATTTTCCTAGCACTGTAGGGTCATTAGGTCCCCTTCAGCCACTTACCTTTCTGCAGCGCAGGGCTCCCCTGGTGCTGGTGACCTCTCCTCCTCATGACGACGTCAGATCCGAAAGCGCATACATGGCAAGAGCAGCATGGGCATTCAAACCGCCCATAGGAAAGCATTACTCAATGCTTTCCTATGGACGTCCAGCATCTTCTCGCTGTAATTTTCACAGTGAGAATCGCGGAAGCGCCTCTAGCGACTGTCAGTGAGACAACCACTAGAGGCTGGATTAACCCTAGTGTAAACATAGCAGTTTCTCTGAAACGGCTTTGTTTACAGCTGCAGGGTTAAAACTAGAGGGACCTGGCACCCAGACCACTTCATTGAGCTGAAGTGGTCTGGGTTGCCTATAGTGGTCCTTTAATTAAATAAAACAGATTGTATTCTATAATTATGTACAGATTGTAGGAAATAGATATAATTCATGTTGCAATATATTAAATAGGACACAATAAAATGATTTTAAAAAATGTAGATATAGAGAGGTCAAATGAAAATGTAATACAAAAAGATAGATGGATAATTCCATTTCATAGATTATTATATATTAATAATGGCACCAAATAAAATGATATTGAACGTAGATAAGAAAAGTAGACTTTTGTAACTTGCTTTCTATTTCAGTTTAGATCAGCTGCCCCCACATTCTCCATGCCTTCTGTATGTTTAATCCTGTTTCTTGTGGGTTCTTGCTGGCTCAGCAAAGGATGCTGCCAAACCTACGATAAACTAAGGGAACTGAACACAGAGTTTGCTGTCAGACTGTACCAAAAACTGGTGGAGATTGAAAACAGGACCAATATAGTTGTCTCACCAAGTAGTGTGGGCAGTTCTCTTGGGCTACTGCAGTTTGGGGCCGGAGGAAATACTTTCACCCAGATGGAAAACACCCTAGGATACAGCATTCACGGTAATGTAATGTGATATTAAAAATACATGTTTAGAGTTATGTAACAAAGGGGGGGAAATGAATCAATAAACCATGAATTGGCAATCGATTTGCAACACTTTGGCGGGACATCTGATTTAGTCCTCAATTTATTAAGCATTCCAAATGATTTACCTGCAAAAATATGGATAGGAGAACTATTAATCTGCTTGGAAGATTTAAGAGCGAGGAAAGCAATAGCCTCTCCCCAGCTCCTTCACCCACAGGCCACAATGCTTCTCCGACGGTTCCCAGTAGCCAAGTATGTCTGGTATCCCCCGAGATGTCAGTTCTTACCCTGTGCTACTAATGCATGGTGTTGTGGTTCCAGGCTGTAGACCGAAAATGTAGGAGCCCACTTGGCACACTTCTGGTCAGTTTGCCAGACAAGCTGCGCCCCCATTGTCTGTATTTTTAACTGATTGAAGACTATTGTAGCGGAGATGCAATATTCCCCAGGTTGTCTCCGCTTATAATCCAAGTGAGGCTCAGGAACAAGTAAATAATAAATCCATAGGCAAAGTTTCCAGCAGGTAAAATAACAGCAATCTCCCCACAGCAATCCCAATAACTGGACGACACACAGTTTCAGGAGCAGAACTGCCAAGCCTTTAATCACAGTCTCCTTATAAAGCATGCTCCCATGCAAGGGAGGGATTACAGTAATTATTACAGTAGCCAATCCTGTCCTGGTAACCTCCCACACATCTCCTCCCCTCAGCCAGCATCATAATCCTCTTATCCAGTACACCAATTCCCCCCGTTTCTGGATGTACCCCTAAACGTAGGGGTACCTCTTTAAATCCTACATCCCCTGGTAGCCCTGATCTGGGTGAACAACATATCCAAAAACCACCCAGATCAGACCAGGGGTTCGGGAAAAGTATGGAGGGAATAAAATGACCGACCGCACGAACTGAGATAGCCGAATTCGGTTCCATGTGAATGGGCCCTGCGGTCGGTCCTGGCATAAGGGAATAAAATACACGAAAACCTCTAGCTATAGAGGCTAGGGAGGGTTCGCCTGAATCCCCTCGTTCGGTATTCTCTATCTACCGAACGAGGGGCCGTTCGGTAGTTTGGAACCGAACGGACCAGGGCTGTGGAGGTCTCAGCGGTGTTCGCCTACTCGAGTGTCCGATTTTAGTTCCAGACACTCGACGGCAAAACACCGCTGTTCGGGAGTTTTAAAATGGCCGCCGCCACGTGTTCGTTTGTCGAATGGCGGCCACCCCCGAGAACAAAGGACAGCTACTTACTGTTCAATTACCCGTTCGCAACAATGTTGCAACGGGTAATTGAGGACACACTTCACACAGGGGAGGTCTGGTTGTTCGGTAGTTTCATTCGAATAAACTAAGGGAACGAAACTACCGAACAATCACAAGAATACAAGGCTTTAAAACACATAGGAAACTACAGATCACACGAATGCAATTATTTCACAGACATTTGCAGGACAGCCCAGTGCCATCCGCTACAACTATAATTTTTTAATCAGCCTGCACTATCAACCATCCCGAAAACAGATTCATAATTTGCTGTTGTTTAAAATATCCAACGTAGAATATCTACTCTGACACAAAATATAGTATCCCCTGGTACCCAAACCCAAGCCTTTAAACTTGAGATGTCACTATTATTGTCACTATTATTATTAGTAGTATTTATATAGCGCCAGCCTATTCCGTAGCGCTTTACAATATTATCAGAGGGGGAGATTTAATAATAAATGAGACAGTTACAAAAACTTACAGGGACAATGGTTTGAAGAGGACAATGCTTGAATTAACATTCAGTCTAGAGTAGTTTTAACAAGGTAAACTCAGTTGGTTTAAGTGTTTGTTCGAAAAGCACTTGCCACACACAAATCGTCTCTAACCACTGGGTATTGGTTGTTTGGTCATGCCTATTCCATATAGACTCCCTGTGTTTAATGTAAGGTCACATATATTTTTCTATGCTTCACAGAATGTTGACCATCTTTCATTCCAGCATTTTAGCATTTCCATTCATAACAGAAATTTGTTTGAGATAACAACCAAGCCCTCCTGTGCGTCATTGTATCGATTTTTGAAGACTAAACCCAATGACCGATACTTTGTTATTGTTGAGGTCAGGACTCATCTATAAAGAGCGCTTTGAGCAGAGCAGGCTAGATTGTAAAGAAATAAATCGAATATCTCCAGTGTTTAGAAGGTGCTGTTAATGGCCTGTACTGCTTCTCATTTCCTAGGGATTAATTGATTTTATTGAGTAAATTCTGCATCCCTGCCCAGTGCTAAATGCTTTCTAAGAGTTATTTAACAACTGCTTCATCAGATTGATTTATTCTACTGCAGGTTAAATCTTTAATTTAACACTTTAAATGTCAGAGCATTTAACAAATGCATTGTTAGTTCAGCTAGTGTTTGGTGGCCTTATGTTATTCTTATATTTTATAGCAATGCATTTTATCTTTATATTACTGTAGAAATTTGTTGCAAAAATGTTAATGTACAGCAAAACCTTATGTGTGATAGTACTTGCAATTAGCATGAAAAATACACAGTTACAAGAGAGGTTATAGCATATGTATGTTGTGACATTAGGTTTGTAAAGAAAGAAGACACAGAAAGTTCATGGACAGGAAGTTCAGAATGTGTGGAAATCCAATGGAGAAATTAGATGGCCAAATATTTATTAGTAATTGTAGTGTTTTTATAGTTTCAACATTCCACACGAATCTGCAGTCGTTCACAATTATTAAACAATTAGTGGGATATATAACTTAAAATAATTGGGGAGACAAGTACAAAAAGAGAAGAGGGACCTACCCAGAGAAGCTAACAATATAGTCTAGGAGACCATAATGGCAAAGGAGTGAAGGAACTGATTGCTTTTAGGAAAATTTGATGAAGATTAGTAGGCAAGTCTTGAGAGAGGGGTTTCAAAGGATGTTTAAAGCTAAACTCGTTATAAATGGTTTGATACTAAGAGACAAAGAATTCTGGAAGACAGTATCAGCTCAGTAGATAAGGTAGGAGATTCAGATGGTACAGAGATAGCAGAAGTCAAAACCATGGACTGATTGTTGTCTTGTTAAGAAGCTTATTAGAAATAAGCACATTAAAAAAAAAGTTAAATAAATCTTACAATAACAATTTATGTTTCTTACTCTCTAGATCTGTTTTGCTTATCTCCTTACACAGATAAAACAGTTCAGGATTTCATGCAAAACATCCACACAGAATTGGAGAATTCAAGCCAAGGCACAATGATCCATTTGGCCTGCGCCTTGTTTGTACAGACTGGAATCCCACTTACACCCTCTTTTACAGAGCATGCAGCTCTATGGGCAAACAGTGGCCTGCAGCGAACAAACTTCAGTGAACATAACAGGACAGCAATGCAGATAAATGAGTGGGTGACGAGTAACACCGGTGGTATGTAACCCAAAATTCACATTGTCTGTCTGTCTGACATCTTGTATATTGAAAGGATAGGGCCAGCCTTGTATATTATTTTTTTACATAAACATATGTCCCTTTCAAACTACATAATCTTCAGCACTCTTACTGTCTCCGTCTTTTTCACAGAATCAAAAGGGGAGATTTTTCAAAGTGCTCTGTTGAAAAAAGTGGTCTAATGTACAGGAAATGGGGCAATTACCATTGAAACCAGATGCAGGCACATTCCATTAACGACTCCACTCTTTTACATCTTTACACCACTCTCTAGGTCCGGGCCTAAGCTGGTGCCTAATGGGTGATCTGGTTCTGAGACTAATACAGAGATTATATCAGCAATGTGTAGACTTAGACATAAAGGATAATCTGCCACTAGAAATACCGTGTTTACCTGAAAATAAGACCGGGTCGTATATTAATTTTTTTTCCCCCGAAATACTCACTAGGGCTTATTTATGGGGGGGTCTTATTTCGGGGAAAAACATGTGCTAGAAAGCAGGTCTATGTTCAGGGGATTTCCCCAAACATAGACCTATTAACTAGGGAATGGAATCCTGCAAATCTATGTTCGGGGAAACTTCCCCAAACATAGATAATCTTATTCGCGAATGGATTCTTGCGTATATATGTTCGGGGGAAACCTCCCCCAAACATAGATAAGCTTACTTGCGAATGAAATTCCGCAAATCTATGTTTGGGGCAAATTCCCCGAACACAGATTAGCGAATGACTAGGGCTTATTTTCAGGGTAGGGCTTATATTAGGAGCATCTCCCGAACATAAGCTATGGCATATTTTCGGGGGATGTCTTATTTTCGGGGGAAACACGGTATATACAAAGTTCCTGGACGCCACCTGGTAATAGGATTCTACAACTCAAAAAGGCGAAGATATTGCTAAAATCAAAACCAATGAATTGATAAATAAACTGCAACTGTTCACAATAAAACATCTCTTCTTTTCATAAAACTTGATGCCAATCATGGCTTGATAATACAAAACTGCATGCAGGGGCGGATCCAGAACCAAATCTCAGCAAGGGCACTTTATTACATTGACAATCCATCCAAACACACTCTGTTATAAAAGTTGTGTTTTAAACTCGTTATATTCAATGTAAATTCTCCTTCCCTTCGCTTGTCCTAAAAGCGGGTACAATGAAGATAATAATGCAAGATTTACATTTTCATCTATTTCACTAAATAAAAACATGCATTGATGACCAGGGCTGGTGCAAGGATTTTTGCCGCCCCCCATATGTCCTGCCCACCATGTGACATCACAATGCCCTGCCCATATGCTCTGCCATATGGGCCAACGTCAGTCTGCACAAAGTGACTTTTATCTGAAAAGACAGTGTGTTTACATTAAAAAGCCTACAGGCACAGGCTATAGACACCAGAACCACTACATTAAGCTGTAGTGCTTCAGGTGACTATAGTATCCATTTAATGTGAGGTAAATTAGAGATTAGTGCCACTAATAATATATTGGATTGCCTACATACCACCAGATGAGGACAAGAGGCTGATGATGGGCTCAGTCTGGCTCCACAGGTCTGGTGTAGAAGAGGCTTTCTGGAGACTGTTTGTAACAGTGCTCACAACAATTAACGAACAGGAAGCAGCGCCATTTTTTGGGGCCCCTTACACAGCTCAAGGTCTGGGCCCCCAGGGCTTGACCGTGAGTATGCCTACAATGCCCACCCATAAATACCTACATGGCCCACCCATGAGTTCTCTCACAGGTAGTGGAGTGTATGTGTGTAGGGGATGTTTTATGTGTTATTGTAGAGGATGTAATGTGTATGTGTTCTTATAGAATGTAGTGTATAGGGATATCAATTTGTGTAAGGGATGTAGTGTGTGTATAGTGGATGCAGTGTGTGTTTGCGTGTAAGGAATGCATTGTATGTTTATGTATGTGTGTGTGTAAGGGATGCAAGGTGTGTTTCTGTGTATGTAATTGAATGCAGTGTGTTTCTGTAAGGGGTGCATTGAGTGTGTAAGAGATGCATTTTGTTTCTGTGTGTAAGAGAATGAGTGTCTTTGTGAGCGTAAGGGATGCATTGTGTGTTTCGGGTGTGTCTGTGTGTGAGTAAGGATGCATTGTATGTTGTGTGTGTGTGTGTGGGGGGTGAATTGTGTATGTGTGTAGTGTAAAAGAGAGGGTTTGTGGGGTAGAATAGGGACTGAGAGGGGAGCAGCTCTTTGTTTTGTTTTTAAAAAATTCATAGTGCTCTCCCCTCCTGTCAATTAGTGATTTCCCCTTCCCTCCTGTCCCTCAGTGTTCTCCCTTTCTGTCCCTTAGTGCTCTCCCTTGGCCCCCTGCCCCTCTGCAGTCCCCCCTTGGTGGTCTTCTCACTCCCCCCTCTCCCCTTTAGTGGTCCTCCCTCCCTCAGTGGTCCTTCCCCTCTTCTCCCCCTTAGTGGTCCTCCCTCTGGCAAACCCCTAGTGGACCTTCCCCCCTCCCTCTCCCTCAGTGGTCCTTACTCCCCCCTCCCTATGTGGTCCTTATGGAAAGATGCGGATATCAGTACAATATTAAAGTGAGAGAAAAGGAAAGATTGAATATTGTCAAAGAAGGACGTATAAAGTAAAATAAGAAGATAACATAAATCTGAACGTTTTAGCACTCCAACTGAAAGAGGTAGCACTCCGGAGGATGTGTATCAAAAGTAGAAGTAGTAAAAGTGGTGGAACGTGGAAGTGGTTAGATATCCCGAAAAAACAGTGTCACAAAGACATAGTTTACAAACGAGCAAGAAGAAGAACTACATACTACACAGTGTCAAAATTTGTCAAAATGTCAAGAAGGATTCATAAAGAACAGTGATCCTTAGATTGAACACCAATTCAATAATCTGTGGTTGGAGCTGCCACAGTAGAATGGCAAAAGACTCAAGGGACTATATATTATAGAATGTTGTCAGCCTGTTTTGGTTTTTGTAAATAGATCAACCTATTGAAATTATTTTCTTGATTTTAATACACAGGTGGAACACAAACATTGGAGCCATCTGAAACCTTCGATCCTGGATTTACACAAATAGCTATTGTGAGCACAATGTACTTCAAAAGCACTTGGAAAACAAAATTCTCATTCACAGACACGCAAACCCTGCCCTTCATAAGTTCAGATGGTTCAGTAGTGAAGGTTCCCATGATGCACCAGACGGCGGATGTGAATTATGGTAAAGCAAATTACTATTCGTATATGACAGAAATGGCTAACGTTGATAATATGGCACAATTACTTTTCTCCTATTAGCGTTATCAGCCTAAATGCCAATATCGGGATAGTTTGTGGAAGCCAAAGCATTACATGGCAATATTGGGTAACAAAATACCCTTTTTTTTGGTTCAGATGAGTGTTTGTATGAAACTTTGATAGATCTATCTTTTTATATGGGGCTATTCCCCTATATACTTTTTTTTTAATTCTTTATTTTATTAAGGCATATGTGATGGATACAGAACGAATATAGGGAAATGCATTTATGAGTTACATCGTAGGGTTAATACAGCAAAACATTTGGTTAATTACATTTCCAGAGTGTTAATGCCTCGAGTTTTTTATATTTATGTGTCGATTAATGGTAGCATCTTGTAACCAGGCTGAGGAGAATGACAGTGAGTCGAGTGTGATATATTCAATGAGGCTAGTGCCTCGCTGTCGTACTTTGTCGCTTTGGGCCCGTTTAAGTATTGCACGGTATGCTATTCCCATTGTCTATGCTGTTGTTGTCGTTAAGGTATGGCTAATGCTCTGCAGGTTAGCCTGAGGGCTTGTCGCTGTAAGTCATGCTATGTGGGCATAAGCGTGTGAGAGTCAGGAGTTTAAAGCACCTATTAGGTAGCATTAACATCAAGCGTTTATACATTAACCGGTTCAGCTGTCGCTGGCTAATATCAAAAACAACCGGGTTAGACAGATAATACTTATGGAGTTGGCAGATACTCCCCTCCTTTACCCCTTTAAAACATGACACAGTACCCTTATCAAAACCATTATCAAACCTGTCTATATCGGTAGATGAGTGGTCAGAGTGATGTCCCGAACGGTTCGCCACGAACGGTTCGCCACGGACTCATCATTGAGTAAACTTTGACCCTGTACCTCACAGTCAGCAGACACATTCCAGCCAATCAGCAGCAGTCCCTCCCTCCCAGACCCTCCCACCTCCTGGACAGCATCCATTTTACATTCATTGTGAAGCTGCATTCTTAGTGAGCTGTCCAGGAGGTGGGAGGTTCTGGGAGGGAGGGTCTGCTGCTGATTGGCTGGAATGTGTCTGCTGACTGTGAGGTACAGGGTCAAAGTTTACTCAATGATGAGTCCGTGGCGAACCGTTCGGCGAACCGTTCGGGACATCACTAGTGGTCAGTAATAGTTGTGGATACTAGCCACTGATAATCTGGATTGTAAGATAATGATTACTCCTGTTAATGGAGTGTCACATAAAGCGTTAGTGTCAGAGTAGTCAGATAATTGTCGGGCTGATGTCTCTAAAGGTAGGTATAACAGTGGTCTAGCGAATTATCAGATAGTAATTTATCAAAGCCACTAAATCCCCCAAGGCTGCAAACACTATACTTGCTTCAGCTGTCTATGTAGATATAATGTTAATAAAAGAATATAACCAACAGTAATAGAACAAGGACAGTTGTTCAGCATGTGCTTGGAGGTATATACTTAGGTCCCATACGTGTTAGAGACAGTGTATCTCCCAGGACCTTGGGCTTGGTGTTTTCATGATGTAGTCAGCCTATTCCCTGCATTGGGAAGGTATAGTCCTGCATGACGTCTTGAGGCTTATATTTCTTCTGGTCCCGATTTAAGCTGGTCTGCAGACCTGTACAGTGATCGAAGCTGGATGGGAGCGAGGTGTTGCAGTCCTCTGGGCCCCGCAGTTGCCAGGTGGGGTCGCATGGTCATGCTCTTCTGTCGTGCTTTATATCCCATGTGGGTGTTTGGTTTCCCGCGTTGGGGTAGATTGCGCCGCTTGGTCCGCCGCCATTTTGAGGCTCGGGTTGCAGTCCGGGCTTTCAGGGGCTTTCTCCCTTGTTGGGTCAGCCTGTGGGGCATATGGCTGCCTGTCGATTGTGGGGCAGGTGGGTGAGCTCTGCCCTCTAGCTTGCGCCAGAAATTTGCGAGTAGCTCGTCTAGTTTGCACTGGAGGTCAGGTGGCTGTCCTCCCTTGTCAGGGGTTCTCTGTGCCACCATTTTGCAGGTGGTATCTGTTTTGTTGTGTACTTGGGCAGACATGCCCCCAGACCCTGCAGCACGGCTGACAGGTGCTGGGATTTGAACATGCTCTGATGGACCCTGCGAGGGTATTGGAACCCGGGGGCAGAGGGATCAGCCATCTCCCTCCACCCCACATGTAGTAGGCCTCCATTCTTCCGTGGTCCAGAACCGCCACGCGCCAGTCAAACTCCGGTGGATTAATGTGCTTGAGGACTCACACAGTCGCTGTAAGTGTTACAAGCTTTGATTACTCGATTTTAATCATCGTTAGTCGATGTTTTAGGCTGTTTTTCCCCGGCTGGCTCGGCAGTTAGGCTCACCTCTATACTTTTCATAACTTGGTCTTTTGATCTATGCACTATTAATACACCTATTCAGATGACGATTTCCCTTCTTTACCTTTTTTGTATTGTTTAGCTCCTGAGTTGCAGGTGACGGTTTAGAAAACCCTTAACATAATAATTTAGAGATAGTCATTCAATCATAACAAAGGGCATTGCTCCAAGTGCGCTTAAAAAGCCCATGGTCTGATTTTGTCACCATTTTGTTGTTAGCCTTTTGAAAAATTACAATTGGAGTTGTTATTTCTCTTTCAATATTACAATTTGTAATACTGATTTAATAACCTGCTCTACTGATCCTCTCAGTTATGTAATTGCAATTTATTCAATTATATGCTGCTTTAATATACAATAGGCAGAGTGTTGAAATTGAAATACAGGACCATACATTTTACCTTTGGAAAGAAGACCCTGGTGTTTTACCACTTTGCTACACCCCAATCATCACTATCGGCCAGTTATTGTTCAGTTACCAGAGATGAAGTTCATAAAATTCAGTTCTGCTTCTACTATTAGAGAATCTTCCTTAAAAAACATGGTTGAGAAACTGAAAATAACCTTGTATATCATTACATTGCAACTACAGCAATATCTTCAATTCATTTAAAATTAGAAACATAATTTGATGGTGAAACTGGTTTTATAAATTGTCTGAATCAGTTGATCAAAAGAAATAGGAACAAAAAAATACTCCTACGCTATTAGCGAGATCGAAACGTTACTTACCACTGCGCACTAGGAGGGTCCATGGCACGTTTACCACGGGTAAACTTTTCAGGGCTTAATTTTCATTTGCAAATGGCTAGTGGTCGAGTGGATATTTTGAGCCCAGTGAAAATAATATTTAAAGGATCACTATAGGGTCAGGAAAACAAACATGACCCTATAGTGTTAACACCACCATCTTGCCCCCCGTGCCCTCTCATGCCTCCATAAATACAGTTAAAATCTTACTATATTCAAGCCTGAAGCTTTAAATCTGCATGCTGTTAGACTCAGAAAAACAAGCAGTCTGCTGACATGTGGTAGTCTGATCCAATCACAGTGCTTCCCCATAGGATTGGCTGAGACTAACAAGGAGGCAGATCAGTGGCAGAGCCAGCATGCTTCAAACACAGCCTTGGCCAATCAGCATCTCCTCATAGAGATGAATTGAATCAATGAATCTCTATGAGGAAAGTTCAGCGTCTGCATGCAGAGGGAGGAGCTACTGAATCACAGGATGCTGTGCACAGTTCTGCCCTGTGCTCTGCTGACAGCAAATCTGAGTGGATGGAGGCATATTATACATCCATCAACTCCGAAGTCCCTCTGGTTCACTCTGAGTTACTGCAACTGGAGGTGTTCCTAGCTTTCAATGTAAACACTGTATTTTCTCAGAAAATACAGTGTTTACATGAGATAGGCTGCAGGGAGCAATAGTTCTCACCTGAACAACCTCATTAAGCTGAAGTTGTTCAGGTGACTATAGTGCCCCTTTAAGAATTATCTAAATGCGTTTAAAAAAAAAAATCTAAGAATAATTTTAATAATTAATATATTTATAGGTCAATTTGAAACCAAATCTACAGAAAAGTTTACAGTGGTTGAACTGCCTTACCTTGGGAATACTGTCAGCATGTTTGTGGTGCGGCCCACCAACAGAAACGCACCGCTATCCTGCATTGAGTCAAACCTGACTTCAAAGAGCATTGCATTATGGACCAGCAGTATGAAGAGGATCAAAATGGATGTTTTCTTGCCCAGGTAAGTAACCAGTGTGGATGGAAATGGCTCCTTGTATCGGAGTGCTGCTTCCAATTCAGCTCTAAGACTGAACAAGGAGATTGGGCAGGGGCACAAACAACACATAAATTCAGTGCTCTGGGTACCACCACCCCCAGCTTCTCAAATTGCAACTGCAGATAATTTAATAGATATTTAGTATATTGCTGAAACAGCACCATACTAATATCAGCATCATCATTTATATAGCGCCAATATATTACGGAGCACTTCACAATTATAAAATGGGGATATAGTTGACAAGTGTTTTACATACGGAATATATCAGAGACAAGAGGTGAAGATGGCCCTGCTCAAACAAGCTTACAGTCTATAAGCAAGGGGTATAGGGATTGATGGATAAGATACCTGTGTTGAAATAAACTAGTAAAAGTGATGCATGGAATAACTGAACAGTGACAGGGGAGAGAGTGAACTGGGCTATGGAGGCGAGGGAAGTGAAATAAGAGAAACGTCACCTAGGAAGACGGTAAGCTTTCCTAAAGAGGTGTGTTTTCAGTGACTTCTTAAAAGACTGGATGCTAGAGGAGAGTCTGACAGCATGGGGTCTGCAAATTCCCAAGGAACAGGACAGTGCTAAAAAGGTCTTGTAGATGAGAGGAGCAATTAGGAAGTGAGCAGATATCAAGGGAAGGTCATTTGCAGAGCGAAGGGAACGAAGAGGGGTATATTTGTTGAGTAAAGAGGAAATGTAGTGAGGAGTGAAGTTATTGATGGCTTTGTAGGTTTGTGTTAGCAGTTTGAATTTGATCCTGAAAGGTACGGGAAGCCAATGTAATGATTGGTAAAGGCATGAGGTGTAAAAGTAGCGGTCAGTCAGGAAACTGAGCCTGGCTGCAGCATTCATTACAAACTAAAGAGAGGGGCAATGTAGGTGTTTGGAAGGCCGATGAGTGCATGAACATATGCCTTAATTGTATCTTGAGTTAGAAAAGGGTGAATGTGAGCAACATTTTTAAGATGGAAGTTCTTGGATTTGGAGACAGTCTGGATGTGAGAAGAAAAAGCATGAGTCAAAAGTAACACCAAGGTAACAAGATTGAGGGGTTGTGGTCATGGGCGTCCGCAGGAATTTTTCCAGGGGGGGGCATAATTGTAATGACATCCATGCTTGGAACCTTTTTGACAGTGTCATGAAAGGGAAGGGGCATAGCCATTATCACATAAAGCCAGGGTGAATAGCGTTTTCACAACTATGGTGTCAGGAATATATGTTTGTATTAATGACACTATAGTGTTCCTTTAAGCAAATTAAAGGACATTTCTGGTCACCATAACAACTTCACCTAAATGAAAATGCTATGATGCCAGGAAGCCCCTGGGTGCTAGTTTTCCTTTAAGGGGTTAAATCACTCTCAAATGGTTTAACCCCAAAGGCTTCCTCCAGCTCCAGGTCGCTCAGTGGTATTTGGCTTCTGAAACACTGTCAGGAAGTGCAGATTGACGTCAGGCATGGGTGCCGCTGATTGGCTAGAGTGGACAGTTGACACTCTAAGCCAATTGCTAGTTCCCGGTTCATAAAATATTTGTACTTTTTTATGAATGGGGAGCTACTGATTGGCTTAGAGTGCCAGCTGACCGCTCTAGCCAATCAGCAACACCCCTACCCACGGCACTCTGTGCTTCCTGACACTCAGTAAATAAAAGTGAACACATTAACACCGATATTTTTTTACCTTTGGAGATGAGAAGGTCCAGCGTTTCCCTGCCTGGCCCAGGTACCAAAGCCTTATGATGTGGTGTCCAGAATAAAGTGGAGGGTTCACTTCATTTGTTCTTCCTGCTCCAATCTCCTTTTCCTCTCCTTCATTTGACAGTCTTTTTTTTTTCTTCTGACAATGTTTTCTATCCTTGGCCCCTTCTGCTCTTTTACCTTTCTGCTACTTTCTGCTTATTTAGCGCCCTTCTGCTCCTTTCTCATTCTGATCCCTTTCTGCTCCTTGCAGACCCTTTCTGCTCCCTTTTCTACTTTATCTTTGTGCTCCTTGCTGTCCCTTTGTGCTCCTTCTCCTACTTTACCTTTGTGCTCCTTCTGATTCTTTCTGCTCCTTTACCTTTGTGCTCCTTCGTGCTCCTTGCAGGCCCTTCCTGCTCATTCTCCGATTTTACGTTTGTGCTCCTTCTGCCACTTCCAGCTCATTTCTGACCCTTTCTGCTCCTTCTACTTTACCTTTGTGCTGCTTTACCTTCCAGCTCCTTGCTGACCCTTCCTGTTCATTTCTGTTCCTTTGTGCTCCTTCTCCTACTTTACCTTTTGTGCTCCTTGCTGTCCCTTCCAGCTCCTTGCTGTCCCTTCCAGCTCCTTGCTGCCCCTTTCTGCTCCTTGATGTCCCTTCCTGCTCATTTCTGTTCCTTCTCCTTTTCTTACTTTACCTTCCTGCTCCTTGCTGACTCTTCATGTAGGCTGTCTCCCCCATCCCTCACTTCCATAGGCGTGTGCACGGGGTGTGTCGGGTGTGCATGGGCACACCCTAATCCCCGCGGCACGACGATGCTATCCGAGCGGCGGCTCTGGTCTAAGCCTCCATGGGCCGGTGGGGAGATCAAAGTTCTACCTCACCGGTCCACAGCAGCATGGAGGGAGGCAGCAGAGAACCCGGGCTAGAGTTCACTCTCCACTGAACCACCAGGGAAGGCAGCAGGACTGGGATAATAACTAATCTGCCCCCACCTCCACCCAAACATACAGCTCACACACACAGCACACACAGCCCCAACACACAGCACCCACACACACCCAGCACACTAACAGCATCCTCACAAACAGCACCCTGACAAACACACAGCACACAAACAGCACACTAACAGGACCCGAACAAACACGCACACACAAACACCCTCTCACACACACACACACACACACACAGCACACTACCAGTTCCCTCACACACAGCACACAAACAGCACCCTCACACATAGCACACTAACAGCACTCTCACAAACACACACAAAAACACCCTCACCCACATAGCACACTACCAGCACCCTCACACAGCAGTATATATATATATATATATATATATATATACACACATACATATACATATACACATGGCGTGTGTTTGTGCTTTAGGGTGCACACCCTAATGCAATAGGCTGTGCACACCTATGCTCACTTCCCTAATCTATAGGCTGCCCCCCCATGCCTCACTCCCCTAATCTACAGGCTGCTGCCCCCCAGCCTCACTCTCCTAATCTATAGGCTGCTGCCCCCCCAGCCTCACTCCCCTAATCTATAGGCTGCTGCCCCCCCAGCCTCACTCCCCTAATCTATAGGCTGCTGCCCCCCCCAAAAAAAAAATCTATAGGCTATCTCAAACCCTCCTCCCTCCCCCCACTTACCTGATCTGTAGGCTGTCTCTGGCTGCATGTGTTGTTCCCCTGCGGTTTCAATCAGCAGAGAGAAGCAGGGATAGATGCAGCTTCCTAGCCCTGTCGCTCTCCATACACAGCGCCACCTACTGGCCGGCGCCGGTATTGCAGTTCATTTTCAATCACAGGAAAAATAGCAGAACAAGCTGAAAAATCCAGGGGGGGGCAAGTGCCCCCCCTTACCCCCCCTGCGGACGCCCATGGTTGTGGTAACAGATGTCCCATTGACTTTCAGGGAGATTTATGGAGGAGGATTACCTAAGGGGGGGGGATGAGGAGTTAAGTTTTAGAAAGACTACATTTCAGAAAATGGGAATACATCCAATTAGAGATGGAAGGAAGGCAGATTTTAACGCATTCCAGGAGAGCAGGAGAAAGATAAATCTGTGTGTTGTCAGCATATAGATAATACTGAAATTCTAAATTGATAAGAGTTGATAAAATTAGAGAGGCAGTGTAGATGGAGAATAAAAGAGGACAGTGCTGAGAGGAAGTGAATTCAGGTCACTTGATCCCAGTTAACAGAGTGCCACAAGGGGAGGCAAAAGATGCAGAAGGGGCGGGGGGAAATGCTTGGCCCAGACTCCAGAAACACCAAACAGCCAGATGCACTGGGTCCCAGGAAAAAAAAAGGAGGGTGGTGAAAAATATGGAAAATTATAACTTTTACAGGTGCGTGTCAGTGTGCAACTGTAAGTGTATGTTTGTGTGGGTATGTGCATACATCGGAGCATTCAAACAACAAAACTATGTACAAACATCCCTACTTTCTAAACACCAACACTACAAACAAATATACCATAACAATTAAATTGCAACACCACAGCCTCTCTCTGTATTAGTTCTGCCACTGTTTAGATGTCCTGTATTTTATCTGTGGATGTTATTTGTGGCCAGCCTGGGTGCAATTTGCTTGACAAATCACAACTTATTGAAAGTCCACATACCTGCAAATGGTGGGTTACAGTAGCTGGAGGAACAGATTATCTTTATTTATGAAAATAGACTGTTCAATATTGTTTGAAAATGTATGAATGTTATTTTGACAAAATCACAATCTCAGTCTCTGACCCTTACTTTCAGATTCAAGCTACAAAGCTACAGTGATTTAAAGATGGTTTTGCCAGCTCTGGGTGTGTCTGATCTGTTTGACCCAAGAAAGGCAGATTTTAAGGGAATATCAGGTATTTCTAAAATCATCTACTTTAATTGCAAGAGCTCTGAGCATGCTGTCCCAGTTCCAGAATAACTATTCTTGGGAGTAGTCAAACTAACATTTTCATAAGATTAAATTTTGGTGGATATATGCCTCAAGTTGCCAGGTTCCATGCCCACATGGTTTATCCCACACCTGATGTCTAGTAGGTTGAAGTAGGAAAACATGGTCTTCAATAGCTTAGATCTCTTTCCATCCATGTTTTAAGTTATTTCGGTGGCAGTGTATTTATCTACATTTCATGTCCATAACAGATGTAACAAACAATTGACCAGTATTACATAAAGTAGCATAAGTGCACTATTTATATAAAATTTATACCAGTGGTTCAATGTACTTGAATACTGAAAAAGAGGTCCCTGCCCTACAAATGTGAATTTGGGATATCATCACTGTGTGGGCAGTCAAACAGAGATCAGTTTGTATGAAAGAGCAGGGGAAGAGTAAAAATAAAAATAAAAAGACCGATTCTTGAGTTGCTATGTCCCTCCTATCTCCTATCCCTTTTCAGGTAGGTGTTAGAAGGGTCTGGATAGAAGTGGTGGCATTTAACCCTGTGATCTGGGGTCAGATGACATTAAAATAGCAGTGTTGGAATTATCTACCTTCAATCTTTTTTTAGAGCAAGGCAACCTGTACATTTCTCATGCGATCCATAAAGCAGAGATTGAGGTGTCAGAAGGAGGTACTAGAGCATCAGGTGTTACAGGTAAGTTTAGTACACAGTCCTGTAACTATCCTACTATGAGAACCTAATCTCCATGCTTTATCGTCTGAAACATCTTGAGATATAAGTGCAATGCAATATAAATTAGAAATGTAACGGTTTAAAATTCCATTCTTACAGCTATGGTGTTACTGAAAAGATCCAGAATGCCTGTGTTTAAAGCAGATAGACCATTTTTATTTTTCTTAAGACAATCCAGTTCAGGTACTGTATCCAATTACATTGTTTCAATAATAATATGTTCCACACTTAAGTTTTAAGTAATTTAACTCCATGCCAATCTAGAAATATTGATGGGTCCACCATCTGATTTCCCTTGGGAAACCACTTAACTGTGAAACGCACAGGGGTGGGAGGAATAAAGTATATATATATTATATATAGATAAAAATAAAATGCTATGTCTGAGAATTCTTCCAAATTTGATATTTTGGTTTAAATGATCTATTCATTTGTTTGCTCATTACATTTGTATAAGTAAAGAAATAACGGCTTTGAAGGATTAGCCTAAATTATGCTGGTCACTTGACACTTCTCCCTGCTCATTTTTATTTTTTTTGTTTAATAAACTCTTGTGTAAGGGCTGATGCGTCATAATAGGTATACAGAATTAGGGTGGTGGAGACTGAACAGAAATAGAGGGTTAAAAGAGGCGGAAGGGTAGTAGGGAGAGCTACATACCCCAACACTTTGTGAATATTTCCTTCCTCAGCTAATTGGATTTTCTTATTCTTTTCAGGAGCAATACTTTTCATTGGAAGAGTAACTAATCCGTTACATTAAATAGCCTTCACAAGCGATGTTTCTGATGTGGATAGATTTTGAAATGCAATCTGTGCATCTGCATATTTATTATTCCATTTGTGTATCATAAGAAGGAAGGCAAACAGGTCTTCCTAATCACCCTGGCATTAAAAAACTGTTTACTTATTATTGAAAATTAAATAATTTTATTAATTAATGGTCCATTGTAAATAATTGAAGCACATAAGGAAACGCAATGTCACAATATAACCATGTTTTACATGAATTCTAAATGCAGTATAACAGGTATTTTCTTACCTAACAGTCACTCCAGACAGCTTCACATTTGTGTATAACACTTCTGGTTAAACAAAAATAATCATAACCATAGATGCTCAATGTTGTCCTTGTCAGCTGACTCTTTCCCACAAAGGCCTTGATTTAAAGAGACACTCCACTGGCCAAATACAAAAGAAATAAAAATCAGTCCAAGATCACAAAAGATATCACTATAATGAAAAAAATGCTTTATTAAAAGAGGTAAGTACGTCTGAGAACCAGATAAGTAATTATCCTCTTCTAGACAGGCAGATACAAATGTGGTATAAGGAGATAACCAACCCCTACCATAGAGCCAAGGTAGGGAGTAAAAAGAGAAAAAGCTCCAAGTGTCAACAGAAACGAGATGGGTCCTAGACACTAAGAAGCATCCTCTATCCAAAAAGATCTTCCAAATTGAGCTTGAGAGAATAGATACTTCTATAGAGAAAAATCTCCCCCCTTGTAGTGCACCTTTGAAGGAAATGGGGATAAAAGGGGCAAGGGTACTGCAAACCTAATCCATATAACCCATAACCCACCTAAGAGAATCCATACTGATAGGGACTAAAGGTAAGTATATAGAAGTGACCTAAGCCCGCAGTAAACACACTTGCTGTCCCTATTTACCTCGGCACCGCACAAGGCTAGTGCCTACCTGCACCAAGGCCCCTCAAACAAAACTCAAAAGTGCATAGTGCTACCCAAAAGGGCTCATGATGGTGAACAAGAAAACGCCTGACCCACGTTTCAGCATGTGAAAAGGCAGTAATCAGGATGTTACAGTGGGTTGGAACTTTTTTCGGTTAACCGTGGGAGCATTATATATGGGTTAGATTAATAGAAAATACGAGAGTTCCCTCTTTACCAAGTCTAGCCTCAAAATCTATTTCAGATACGCAGCTCTTTGTATGAGGTGATAACCACTAAGAATGTAATCTTCGGTGTTTAAAATACTTATGAAATTCAGGCTCTCATGTGACAAACCTCATACCACCTTTTTCCTCACAGCAGAGCGGTCATGCATGCGATTTTGGAATTTCTAAAAGTATCGTTCCATTTCAATATTCATCATGTAACAGTTTAACCATACTCTTAATCCCTCTGTAGGGGACTAGAAAAGATGGCATAAAATTGATGTTAAGAGGTTTTCTTCAAAAGATTAACTGATCAGAAATTCTGAAAGTCTTCTAGGTTGTTTATATTACCATTTTAGACTTTTAGAAACATACCAATAGCCAACTTCAATTAACAGTAATTTTACCAGAACAGCAGTGACCTCTTGGGCATCTCTGGCTGAATTACCATTGAGGAATCAACTTTAACCCCTTAAGGACCAAACTTCTGGAAAAAAAAGGGAATCATGACATGTCACACATGTCTTGTGTCCTTAAGGGGTTAAAGCAATTATTTCGTTTCCTCATTTGACCATAATTGACAAAGGGGACTGCAGAGGACGACAAATTTAAACCTTGAAAGAGTTGGTTTTGAATATTAGGCAAAACATTTTCTTAAATGGATTCTATAGTGTTAGGAATACAAAGTTGTATTCCTAACACTATAGTGCCTTCAGACCCCCACCCCCTCCTCCCAAAAACCAATAGATTTTTTTTTTTTTTTTAAACCTTACTCTATTCCAGTGCCTATATCCATCATTAGACCCATTGCATGCAGAACATGAGGACATCTAGCATCAGTTAGGCGACCTGGAGTCCAGTAAACTGGTAGACAGCCACATGAGGCTGTCTTAGTTCTGCAATGACAACATTGCAGTTTCTCAAAAACTGAAATGTTTTTTATTGTAGGACTAAGGGCAATAGGGACACTGCACCCAGACAATTTTAATGAGCTGAAATGGTCAGAGTGCCTACAGGGTCAAGAATACAAATGTGTATTCCTGACCTTATAGAGTTAAAAACACTATTTAGGTGGCCAACCCCCTTAAATAGGGTTAAAACTTAGATTTGTTTTGCTGGCCCCACCTCCTTGGCTGAGATCATCAGAATTAACAATCTCAGCCAGACCAATGCTTTCTCATAGAAAACCGCTGGTTAAACACTGGCCAATCAACACCTGCTCAGTGACATGCATTAAATGGTTAAAGTTCAGCACCTCCATGCAGTGGGGTGCTGCACACTGAAGAAGCAACTCTAATGGCAGTCTGAGTGACTGGAAGTGCCCCCAGGCAGCAATTTAAACACTGCACTTTTTTTTTCTTTTTTTTTTAAAGGCAGTGTTTACATTAAAAAGCCTGCAAGGACATTACATATGTACCAGAAAAACTCAATTAAACTATTTCTGGTGACTATTGTCCCTTTAAGTCTTTTCCTGGTCTCTGTTATTCCACTTTTCTATTGCTTGGGCATTTCCTACATGTGATCCTGCCCTGGTTAGTCAGGAAACCATGTATTCCTGTAATTTGTTTTTCTTGGCCATTTTCCATTGCAGCATTAATTGCAATCTTGGTTTGCTTCATGATATGAATTTACTTAAAAGGGTTCTAGACCTCCTCTTCTAAATTTGTCACATCAACTTCCTATCATCTGAGGTGAGACACTAACTCATAAGTGATGATATGGGAAATAAAATAAAACTTTTCATGAATACATTTTTCACTTTAGAGAATTTGTTAAAATCCCTGCAAAATTTTCTTGCCGTGAAGTTCCGATCCCCAACCTCATGAAATCAGCTTAAGGAGGATGTAATTCCATTTAACAAGGCTCCATAACATGCTGGAAAATGGGCAGTCTAGTGGAATGGACAATGAAGTAAGGATGGAAATCGTTATATAAAGTTTGGAGCACAATAAGTGATGGTGTTAGGAGTGAACAAAGGCCAGGAAGATGGAGGGTGTGCACAAGCTATACAATGCCTGTGTTGGTTCTTATGTGTCATGATTGAGGAAACTGCCAACTCAACCACTTTGTACATAGTTGTAAATCACTGCTTTGGATATATTAGTGAGAGCTAATACCAGGAGGTCAACTGTGGCTGTGATCCCAATTCTACTGATCAGTTTAAGACCACATTTCCTTGTTCCAGTGTTTTAACAATAAGCAACACTTCGTGAACACATTTGCACATCTTGTATATTAGATTCCATCTACAAGAAGCATTCACGAACAGTACTATTCATAATAAAGTGATTACATAAAAACTGTAAACAGTAACAATGGGTGAAATGTAACAGATCGGAGTGCGGATGAGATCACCAATGAGAACCTTTAGTAAGATAACCAATGGTCCCTAGAGCTTATCAAAGGATGGAGAAGTGTCGTTAACTAGAGCTGAAAATCTATCCACATGCATAACCCATTGAATCTCTGATTTAATTATGGTATAGAACACCCTCCTCTGAGCTGTTACTACAAACACTGTAAACTTTAATCCTTAGCCAAATTCTCAAAATAAAAAAAATAAAACTGATTTTTGTAATGTTTGGCAAGTAAAACCTTTGAAAATCTTCTGTTGATTCCACTGTGGCAATTAAAGCGCAAATGAACACTATAAGGTTAGAAATATACAATCAAATACTGGGACAGTCTCCTCTTCCACTGCTTCTAGATTATCAGCACTCATATTGCTCCAATCAAATGCTTCTCTAAAACTACAGTGCATGTTTGGCAATCTTCTCCATGAGATGCGCTGCACGTTTGGCATCATCATGCTGTGTGCGATGAAGTCGAATAAGAAGACTGATTTTATTTAAGTGTCTTTTGTCACTGACCAACAGCCACTAGGGGCAAATTATCTGCCAATTTTAAAACTTATTTTCTTAGAAATATCAATGTTTTACATTGTAAAAGAAAAATGCAGAGCATCTACGCACCAAAATTACTACATTAATGGAATGCTCCAAGCACCTAAAGTACTAAAGGATACATTGTATCCTTTTTATTCATCATTTCACACAAAGCAGATATTTCAATAAAATTAGTACTTTTGTAAAGGGGAGGGCTTGATAAAACAGCAGGCAACAGATCTGCAGCTTTTGTAAGCCGTTTTTACATATATCTCCAATGAAAAAAACTGCATAACTAAATGTGCACATGTTTTTTATTGGAGGTTTATATACACAAACTAGTGATAGTAAGATAGTAAATTGTGTCTTAGAATGCCCCTTTAACATGATATCAAACAAGGCGCGTTCGATTATCCAATAGAGCTCAAAATTGGATCGCTTGTCAATAAACAACCACAAGTTATTGAGCACCCACATAGGCAAAGTGCACATATATTTTGACACCTATCAAAAAGGCAAATAATACATCTTGACAAAACCTAAAATAGCTTTTTTATTGTTCAAATAACAAAAGTGCTTCTGTTTAAATAGTTTTCAAAATACGTCTGTACAATTTACAATAGTATATTCAAAATAACTATGTACAAAATATTACCGTATGACATGTGCTTCTTCCTAGTTAAGTTGTAATTACATAAATAGAACTACCTACATGTCAAGATATGTAACTGCAGCTCATATGTAACGAAAATGTTTCTGGTTCATATAACTTCATGCTGCATCATATAAGTATCTCTAAAAAAAAGAGTTCTTAAGTTTCTTTTTGGCAACTCTTATTGTAGACGCGATTGGGAGGCTAAGAAAATACACTGTAGAACCTGAGATAGACACATTTGCCAATGACCACTGAGTATTTTTTTTTTTAAACTTTCCATCATCCTACAAATTCGTTGGGTGCTAGAGGGGCAAGATATGTATTGCTCCCTTCGCACTCCTCTCCTTAATGGTATCATTTGTCACTTTCGGTTGTAAAAAAATTTAAATAAAAAACAAAACAAAAAAACTTGGAAGCACATTAAGAGGACGAGCATGATTCTCTGCCCTGGTGATGCCTCATATCTTTCAGTTCCAAATGATTTCAGAATGAATGTGAGGTGAACAGGCCACCCCACTCAATTTTAGTGGTTCTCTGAATAGTTCAACAGCTCAAATGGTTCAAATGGTTCGATCTTCTGTTAATTTCTTCCAAAAACTCTTGTAACTGATCCATCAACATTCGCTTTTTAAACCTGTGAAAACATAGGTAATACTTTATTTTTCCAAATTAGAAAAGCGGTGTTTAAAAGTTAAACTCAATGGACTCTTAGACCCTAGATTACTATAAAATATGACACGTTAAATAAAAAATGAAATAAAAAACAAAATACTTTAAATAACATGAGAGCCCACATTTTAACGTTACATTTTGCTAGCAAAATTGGTTACACATTTATAGGATTTCTGGGTGGGACAGTCTCAGTGTAGGCTACATCTCCTACCTTTTAAAGTCATTTAAGCAGCCTCCCCTCCACCCTGCCATCATCTCTTTACCTGCCAACATTGTTATTTAATTTGTCATGATTTCATCTGCATAAGCTATCTTTAAGACCGTGTCCATTGCCAAGGGTATCAGCAGAAATGCAGTTTGATGTCTGAAACGCTAGGGCCGTATGCTTATTTGCTTGTCAAGTTGGGCCCCATGATAGTTGTGGCATAACCTCTTATATTATTAAAAAGCCACACATACCTTGAAGCCTCTTTGATGACTTTCTGTAGGAACAGTAGTCTGGTTTGTAAATTGCCTTGAACTTCTTTTAGCAAAGAGAAGATCGTTTCATATTCTAAGAAACAAAAGTTACATAGTGTGATTTATTTAATAAACAGTTTAATAAGTCAAGGATTTTCCTAGTACATTGTATACATACTTCTCCCTGGTTTTCTTATTTCTTTTAGAATTTGTGCTTTTAACTCTGTGTTGACCTCCTCCCAACTCTGGAATGGATCCAGCTGTTCCATATGGTTTGTAAATAAGGACAAATTATTCTCCAAATTGTTTTCTACATCTTCAGAATCTGTAGTATTTGCAAGGAAGCCATGATCCGTCCCAACGAGTCCAAACCCTACATCGCGATCTTCGGCACTATCAGCATTTGCATCCAAACTGCTCACAGAAATTGTTGAAAAGTTTTCAAATGACTCACATTTGTCAGGCAATGAGTCTGTAGGACTTTGTTCCTCAACATGATTTACTTTAGCATCATTTGCTAGAACATCAGTGCGCTGATCAGTATCTGCAATCAAGAGAAGAGACACCTCCTTATCAAGCAGTGCTTTTACTTTTCCAAATGATTACAACATGAACATTACAGGATTCTAGTTACAACAAATAACTTATACTCCATGGTACAGACATTGTCCGTAATACATTGTGCCCTTAAATTATATAGGTTGGTGCACATTTCTCTTTTGCTTTAACATTTTCCATTGAAATGCATTGATCCTCAAACTTTGGGTCACCAAGCCAATGTATACCTGTTAACAGGTACACGTTCAATAACTGATTTACAACTGAAAGTGTTCTACAGAGGTTTGCCTAGTATACATAATACTGTATGCGAGGAATTTGATGCCACGGTAATTTCAATCCTTGCCAAAAAAAAAAAAAAAAGGGTTGAAACCACTGATTTAAGATACTCCAGATGGGATGTTGCTTAAAAAAAAAAAAAAAAAAAAAAAAAAAAAAAAAGCACCACACAATGAACAGAGTATAATAGTTAATACAGTAAATATGTGAACTTTAGAAATACATACATTTGTGTACTAGCACAGGTTTTGTTTGGACTGGTAGGGTTACCGTAGGAGGAGGCCCCTTTCCCCCTATGTGGTTATTTATTACAGGTGGAGTCTGCGGTCGACCTTGCAACAAGGGTGACATGCTGCGCTTCCTTTTTGGCACTCCATGCTGGTATGGCTCCCCGGGGCGCTTATACTTATTCTGATGTCCTGAGACAAATTCATCTGCTTCATCAATCATCATTCCCTGGAAGAAATATGCAACCTCTTAACATTATCCTGACTACCAATGCTGGGAAAAAAAATACTTTAAAAGTATTAAAAATTTTAAAATGTTTGCTTCTCTTAGAATAAGAGAACATTAATAAAAAAATAAATGTAAACGGCAACGGATGCAGAATAAAGACAATATGGACAAAAAAAAAAAAAGTGTGTGTCTGCATGTATATCTAGATCAGGCTAAGGACAAACAGCAAGGAGTCAAACATTAATAAAATGCACAATGCTTGTATAAAAGGGGTTAATAAGAATGTAAAAAAATCCTCAACATAAATAAGCTGTACAAATAATGTGATACTCCATAGCACATTTGCTATTTATGTAGTATAAACAGGGCTTAATATTTGAAGTCTTATACTACTAGCCTGGCCATTAAAGTTTCTTGCCACTGCAAGCCATACAAGGCTCACCAAGAGTGAATTTCTATTTGCCAGGACTAAACATCCATTCATGTGCCCTGGTATAAATATTCAATTTGTGCCTCCAAGCTACTAAACATAAATTGCCATGAAATCAGCAGCCAAATACTTAAAGGACCACTATAGTGCCAGGAAAACAAACTTGTTTTCCTGGCACTCTAGGGTCATCAGGGCCCCCCTCCCGTTGGGCTGAAGGGGGTTAAAATCCCCTTCAGCAAATTACCTTTCTCCACTGCCAAGGAACTCTCCACCCTCTGCCGACGTCAGCTCCGAATGCGCATGCGCCGCATTCAAACTGCCCATAGGAAAGCATTACTCAATGCTTTCCTATGGACATCCAGTGTCTTCTCACTGATTTTCACAGTGAGAATTGCAGAAGCGCCTCTAGCGGCTGTCAGTGAGACAGCCACTAGAGGCTGGATTAACCCTCAATGAAACATAGCAGTTTCTATGAAACTGCTATGTTTTCAACTGCAGGGTTAAAACTAGAGCGACCTCGCACCCAGACCACTTAATTGAGCTGAAGTGGTCCTTTAAACATGAACCATGCAGGTTGCTTTAATTGGCAACAGTAATCTGCAGTGACACACCTTGTTTTCACATGTAATCAACAGTGGGGACCAGTCATTACAGTGAGTGTCTGCAAAGATGCAATTCAGAAATTACAATGCTCATGTGAAACATTTGCCCCTTTAGCACTTTGAAGCATTGTACAAGTGTCATAGAAACATAGAATGTGACGGCAGAACCATTTGGCCCATCTAGTCTGCCCAATTTTCTAATTACTTTCATTAGTCGCTGGCCTTATCTTATAGTTAGGCTAGCCTTATGCCTATTCCCTGCATGCTTTAACTTCTTTACTGTGTTAACATCTACCACTTCAGCTGGAAGGTTATTCCATGCATCCACTACCCTCTCAGTAAAATAATACTTCATGATATTTTTTAACTTTTTCCCGAAGTCAAAAAGAATCCACACAAACTACACCATACCCTTCGGGAACACTAAACATCTTAAGAGCAAATTAGGAATAAAAACAGAAAAGTAGGTAAGGCCGAGCCAAAATCTAATATTTTTTTATATTAAAGAAGCAACAGAAACTTTTTTGACCTTAAGACAAATTTTTTTTTTTTTGAAAAGATAAAAAAATAAAAAAAACGTAATCACAGGGATACTCCTATATTTAACAGTTTTTAAAGAGTAGAAAAGGATTTACCTTTTTGTCCAATTTAAATGGATTTCCAAATGTGTGCAGTCTTCTTGGCTGATCTGAATCTAGCTCACGGAGAGGTGAAGGGACAGCTCGCAGATATTCCTGGTAGTTTCCCATCTGAACAATAGGAATACTGTGCAATTGATCTGAAGAACAAAAAATGTCCAAACCAAGTAGTTAACAACTGGTAGTGGCTAGACTTGTTGTATGCAGCGTGAATGACACGTGGGCCTCCAGAAGCAGAAGCATGCCTGCCAAGCCTTAGAGGAACCTTTTCAAACAAGTTTCCGCACAATTCTAAAAATATTGGTACCCTCACCCTCATCTTGTCCTCTTAAAAATCTGCGCGTAGACTTTATCAGATTCGCCCTCATCCTGGTTAGATGATCTAGGAGATTTGTTCTCGGGATGTCAAATGCGTTCCGGAATGTTTGTGGTTTCAAATCCTGCATAGTAAGGGGAAAACAAAAATATTTTTTTCCATAGAAAAAGTAGAGTTTAAACACACTTCTGCATTGATAATCACACTCACCTTATTCAACAGGGCTATCTGGAATCCAGCAAACTCCTTCACAGTGAGATCAAACTGTCTTTGGGGTATTTCTCCCGTGATTTCTTGTAGAAGTTGTTTGAAATCTTTACGATCGGCCAATGAAAGAGCCGGTGAGCCACTTTTTACTTTGATACCAGTCTCTTGAGGGAATTTTCTACCAATTAAGCTTATTACTCTATCACACTCTGCTTTGGCCTATAAAAGGAAAGTTGCAAAGAGGTGAAATTACTTTTTTTAAGAAAATCCTCAGCTCAATATAACAAACATATCAAAGCTACAGGCCGATTTAGCCCCCACCCCTCCCCCAACCCCTAAATTTACCCAAAGCTGTACCAAGTACTGCAGATGGCAAAGGAAGAGGTAGGTAAAAGAATATTCAACGCAAGAACAGCGGTAAAAGAGAATTAGCTGGTACAAGCCAAAATTAATTTATACTACCAAGGTGAAAAGAAATATGTTTGACATAACACTGAAGAGCGAAATCTATAAATAAAACTTGCCTGGATTTAGTGTTCAAGGGTATATACAACTCAAAATAAATTTTAAAAAGTTTGGACTACTTTTATTATAGCAGGTAATACATTTATGAGCAAAAACAATATGGTGTGTCCTGTTCTAGCATTTAGAATTTCACCAAGGGAAGCTTTTCACCATTCTATATTAAAAATAAAAAAATAAAACACCCAAATGCCAGTTTCCAAGCTGAAAGTCACATTGCACAGGGCTGTGAAGGTCCTGTTACTATACCTGTTGGCTAAGTTTCTTGAGGTAGGAGACAACAGCATAACTCAAGCCATACTCCATGTTTTCAGAGATAAGGTTTGGTGCACCCATTACCCTTAAAGCTTTCTTCAGAGGCTGAAGTAAAAAGAAATACAAGTTATATTCATAAATATTTTGTTAGAAGAAAAGGGATTCTAATACAAAGGCCTGAGCAGAACTGAACCCTGGTTTGACTTACCCCAATATAGTAAGGTGGCATGGTTTTCAAATAATTTTCAAACGCTTGCCTCCATTTTAGCGAGGGTTTAGCCTTGTGCACTTTAAACAACTCGTCTGAAACAAAGTGGTAGAATTAATTTATGGATTAGGACTGTAGTTAGCACACCAGTTGGTAATTTTGCAATAACCATGACAGATACCAAAATGAAAACCACACTTAAAGGACAACTCAAATTAAATTTTATTTATTTTTTTTAGGTTTATTTTAATTAATGAAAAACAGCAGTTTGCTAGATCTGCTTGAGCAGCATGTTGGGTCAGATTCTATAGTGAAATTTTACTTTAAAAAATGTAAAATACAATGAGAAATAAAAAAAATACAAATATTAAGTTTTGTGTTAAATCTAATATAATAAAAAAAGTGAAGCCGTTTTTATAAAAGCACTTTATTTTTTATTTACAACATTGTGCGTGGGCACCAAGAATTAAAAGTTTGGAGACGGTTCTCTTTAAAAGCTATACAAGGCATATTCATCCATTGTTATAGCATAATATCACACACATTCTTCATAACAGTACAGCCAATTACCTAGTAAAGGGAGGAGGACAGGATAGTTATAAGGCATCACAAACAGGTTCACGCAGTTTAGGGCTGTACTGGCCTTCAAATAGCCAAAAGGATGACCGAGTTCACTATATTTTGCACTGTTGGTCACAAACACCTTGGGATAGAAAAAATAAAAAAAATATGCTCAGAAATATATTGGTTACAAAATAAAAACACTAGGCATTTAAATAAAAGTTATCACAGAATGTCGTGAGTGAATGCAGAAACTGTTGCACAGACTATAGCCCCTAGCAAAAAGACTTCAGGCTAGTATATCATTCAATCTGTGCTGACATTTACTGGTAACAATGTAAAGGAGACATTTCATAACCAATACTGATCTGGTCAAACACATTGTGTGAAAAGTTTTCTAAACTGAAACATTTGTATATTCCAGGAATTCATTTCCAAAGCAAATTCATACAATTTTGTATGGATGAACTGCCTCTTACATCATATTTAAGGGACTCTTTGGGCTGGAGGTGACTCAAGGAATTGGCACACAGATGCTCCCATTATTTTCAATGAGTGTTTAACTTTTTCCAAACATTCCTGAACATCAGAACTTTTACATATTTAGTTCAGCACTTGGCAACAGTCAGGTCCATTGATCACAATAAAGCCGCTGCATAAACTCGTACCAACTGCAATTTTGCTAAACTTGTTCTTAAAGGACTACTCCACACTCCAAAAGCACTTCAGCTTTATGGGTGAGGAGCATCAGTTTAACACCAGTTTATAAAAGTGCAGATTTATGATAAATTGGCACTCAAATAACAAGGAACACCCCTGGCTGTCAAACAGCCAGAGAGCTTTGCAGCTTTCTTTCGTTCGCTCCCTGCAGTGAACGCTGAGGTGCGCATTAGTCCATCCCTTTGCTATTGAGTTTTGCTTGATGTCCTCATGCAGAACATGAGGACGTCCAGTGTCAGGCAACCAAAAGTCGCCTAACCACCAGCAAGTGCCTCTAGTGGCTGTCTGATAGCCACCACTAGAGGCAGTCTTAATCCTGCAATGTTGTTATTGCAGTTTCTCACAAATTGCAATAATTACAATTGCAGGGTTAAGGGGCATTGCACCCAGACCACTTCAATGAGTCAAAGTGGTCTGGGTGCCTTTAGCAGCATTCTTTACAAAAGAGAAACAATTGCTGTGTGTCACAGATAACTACTTTACTTATACAGCACATGGTAGCTTTAACAGAAAGGCAGATTACAAGAGTTAAGACTTACAGGCCAGCAGGTATGGGGGGACTTTCTCTCCAGAATATACTGCGTCAGTGGTGAGGGTTCCAGCTCATATTTATCAAACGGCAACTTATCAATAACCATTGGCTCAGAATTTGTGCATGAGAACTTAACGACAGGATGAGAAGTTCGAGGTGGCTGTAGATGGACAAAGATTGTTAATTAAGTTAGCATACATCTACTGAACACAGTCAGTGTCACTTCAGACCGTTCCAGAAAAAACAAATCTTTGTTTATTTGAAGCAGAGATTCCCACTGATATGCAGTTGAAATAAAACAAGTAATACCAGTAATGGCTAACCATGGTACTGAAAACATTTGCCAGACTAAACATCTGCAGTGCTAATGCTGGCCAGTTTGGCTATAATGGAACAGATATTTGGCAATAAAGGTGTTGGAGAGGTAAAGAAAATATGAATTGCAAGCATGGACTGAAAAAAAGATTATACCGATCCTTGGAATAAAAAGTTAGGAGTTGTAAAACCACAGCTTTATAATTTTGAAAAACGCAACACAAGAATTTGAATATAAACTGAAAGGTGCTCTGCATATTTTAGGATGGCAAATTTCACACCAGATACAATAAACATCGCTACATTGCGCAAGTAGAATCACCAATAAATTACACTTATCAATGTCTACAAGTTCTGCTAAGCAGGATGCCATAGCGTTGATTCACTAAACTGAGAATTGCAGCAAACTGACCAAGAAATTTTACATCGTAGGTCAAAATAGCAAAATTACACAATGTTACATTTCCATGGAAGGAACATTGAGGTTACTGTAAGAGACTGAAAACATTTTAAAAATACTGTTAATTAACACTGGAATGGACATGAATATTTCTGTAGATTATGAACCAGGGACGGTGCCTTTGACACCAATACAATGCATATTATGAAAGTGTATAAGATGGCCTCTGAAATCCACAGTACAAGTTTTGTTTTTCAATCACTAAATCGGTCATGGTTCCATCTTCTGTGACAGGGGATGGCAGTATACAAAATGTAACAATAGGTGGAGTAGGTCAGTAGTGGATAATGTAAAGGAAGAAACAATGGGATAATTGAAATGCAGTGGAAGGCATAATGAATAGGAGAGAGTGTAGGGACAGGGATAAAGTGCAAAGAAATAGATGGATTAAAGGAAGAGAACATACAAGTCGGACGAGTAATGGCAATTACTAAAGCGCAATAGGGTATGAGCAAGAGCTTCACAAAGGTAGCAAAAATAGGAATTGTTGAGGGTAGTACAAATCATTTGGATGAGTGATTGACTGTAAGAACAAGACCTCAGGATAATGCCTAAAACAGCGTAACGGGCTCAAAATATAAACCATGAACTAAATAGATTGTGAGGGAGCAGCAGCATAAGATGCTAAATACTAGAATGGGGGAACCCCATACATTGTGTAATGGTCAGTAAGGGGACTGAATCAAAAAGGTAGGAAAATCTCATTCACCAATTTCAAAATAAAATCACAAACACAAAATATAAATATATAAATAAATAATCCACACTCACCAGTGTTGGGGAATTCTGATCTGGCCAAAAAGATTCTGGTATGGGCCAGTGACCTAATGGGACTCCTGTTTTGGGATTAGGTCGGACATAAATCAGTTTTCGACAGCTGTGCCAAGGTTGAACTCCAACTGGTTTTACCATGTCTGGAAGGCCATCTATTAACACCAATATACATGCACATAAAGGTTAATGTTCGTCTAAAAGTATGGCTTTAAGAACGAAGAGGAAAAGAGCCTGCAAATCTTTCAAGAAAAAAAAAAAAAAAGTGGTGCATGGTAACACTTCGACAGCTACAGTTTGAGTACAAAAAAAATAAAAAAAATATGTTACTCTTAACTTGCAGGTACATCACAATAAATCTTGCATTCTTTGATTTCAAATCTGTACATTTTACACAGAATCTTGAGAATGCTGTGCAGATGAACAAATTTCAGAATAAAATACCAATAACCACAACATTTTAGTTTGTATCCATGACTTTCATTATCCAAAAGTGGGCAAGTTCACTTTACCCATGAGGATCTTTAAATAAATGTAGATTTTTATTTGGCTTTTTTATCTAGCTGCTTGAAAATCTAATAAATTCAGGAAAAATGCAGGGACGTGCAGTAACCTAGTGCAGCACAATGGAGGAGTAGGCATAATCCTGCCTTCATAGCAACAACCCCTCTTCACAAATCTGATTGGTATATAAACAGTGGGAGCTCGGATTAGTGTGCTGTGATTAGCTGCAAACTGGACTCCACCCCACAACCAATGTCATCTTATCTGTATAGTATTTCAATGTGAGGCCAGTGTAAAATGGGCTAGACATAAGAAAAGAAAAGTGACTGTGTTGGAGTCAGGATATAAACTCAACTAATGCTCATCTCCAATTGGGGGAACAAACTACTGTATATACTCAGAACATCTATCAAGTAAATTTCTTTGTGAGAAGAGAGGAGGGGGCGCTAAGGGGCAGAGTTACATTGCAGAAATAAAGTAAAAAGGTGACTTTTAAACCAGGTTGCATTTAGCAATTTAACTACTCACTGGCCACAACTTTAAGTGTGGCACCGAGTTACATTTATGCAGCCCACAGGGTTCCTAGCAATAAACCAACAGTCAGCTTTAATGCCTTCATATCAGCAGTGGGTCCCAGAATGTGCTGTAATATACAAGCACCAGTTTCCAGGTACTGTGCAGCCATGGGGAAAGCAACAGCTTCCATACTGCTCCAAACACCAAGCAAGTACACAGTAGGGATAGACAGATTATCAGTTTAGCAGATATTCAGGATTTTTGGCAAATAACAGTATTGGCCACTATTGATATCGATATTTCCAATAATGTGAGGCTGCACCAGCCCAGCACGTCCATAAGGCGGAAAACGCAGCTGCATCAGGGCAAGGGAGAGGAGCACATCGCTCCCCCTACCAGTCACTGGTCAAGTGGAGTACAGCGGACCGCGGTACAGAAGTGTCAGTTTCCTGTACCCGGCCGGACTGACAGAAAGCACTTCCTATCAGTCCAGCCAGGTACAGGATCTGAAGCTCCTGTACCTCGCTCCGCTCTGCTCAGCCACACTACAAGAGCGGTAAAGAGGCACACCAGGGAGGGGAGAGAACCATAAAGGGACAGGGAAGGGAGGAGAGAGGTACACTAAGGGACAGGGAAGGGAACAGAGAGGTACACTAAGGGACAGGGAAGGGAACACTAAATATTCTTGAAAACAAAGAAAAATCTGACTGGCAATAATTTGCAAATATAAATAAATAATAAAAATGCACAGTTAAAGTAACACTATAGGGTCAGGAACACAAACATGTATTCCTGACCCTATAATGTTTAACCCACCATTTAGGTTGCTTGCCCCACCCTTCACATCCCTCCCCCCCCCAAAAAAATAAAATAAAAATAAAAAATTTTTTTAACCCTCTTCATTCCAGCGCCACGTGGGTCTGCAGGCGCTAGCTTAGCCCCCTTGGTGACATCATAGAATTGACGGTTTTTAGACAATCCAATGCTTTTCCCATAGGAAAAGCATTGGATTGTCTGAAATCAGCAAGGGGCGGGGCCAATCAGCACCTCCTCATAGAAATGCATTGAATCAATGCATCATAAAAATCATAAAAAAAATAAAAAATCAATATCAGTCGATCCCTAGTACACCGCTCCCATACTGCTCCAAACACCAAGCAGATACACAGCTCCCATACTGCTCCAAACACTAAGGACACTACAAGTGTGAGGAGAGGATGTTAATTCTGCAAACAGTGGAAAGGTGCAAGAGGAGAACAGAAGAAGGTTTAAGTAAATGTGCAAGTTTTTAATAGTGTGTATTTGTATGCATCCTAGTGTGTATATATATATGCATCTGAATGCATGATTGTGGGTCTATAAATGTGCATGTGTGCTGGTGCACGCGTGTGTGGCTTGCTATGTGTAGAGCGCTTTGTGTGAGGGTGTTAAAGTATATGAAGGGGAAGAACACATACACTTGGCTGAGTCTAGAGCAGTCACAATTTTACAATACAGCAAAGCCTACATGTGCTAAATAGGTCACAAATTATATCAAAACCAAATATTCACCAAACCCCATCATGTCTACAACTAAAGTGACACTGTAGGCACTGTATTGGCTTAGTCTCATTAAACTGGTTCTAGTGTCTGGAATCCCCAAGTGCCAAAATTTCAATCATTAAAAAGTTTTTAAGGTTATGCTGCTAAATGGGAGTCCCCAGAAGCCCATCCCCTTTGTTCTGCTATAGCCAATGAGAAAGTATTAACCTGAGTAGCAATGGGCAACTGATTGAGTTTGTCAGCTGACTGCTTTTAGCCTATCAGAGCTCTGACAGTATGAAGGGTATAACTACAAGGAAGTGTGTAATCACTGCCTTAGCCATACCTCTAGAAGGGGCCAGACTGTGGGTGGCCAGGGACACTTTGTTCAACTGCTCTAAAATGATTTAAAACTGTTTGGAGGCAGTGCCAGGGGACACCAGGCACTATAACCAATTCAAATAAAGGGACTATAAATCACTATAACAATTTCATCAAAGTATTTTTAGTGTGTAAAATTGAATGGACTGATCTCGTAGAATAAAAGTGGAAAAACATTCAATTATACGGAATTGGTTACCATCTCAATTGAAGTGGCCAGCATCTGGCTGTATAGCTACTAAAAAATAAATAACATTCTCATAAGGACTAAATTTAAGGCAAGACAGGAGGCTACAAATTTGCTTTACCTTTACTGAAACTTCCAGCAGCAGAGTAATGGTTAACATAACTTTTCAGAAACAACCAATCAGAACAAAGAACAAAACACTCAGGCAGACCCACTTACTCTTTCTTTGCAGCTGCCTCCAGGTGAGCACTTACCAACTCAGAGTTTGTCTGCTCTGGGCTGTTTACAGTGTAGAAATCAAGGCAAACATGCAGCATATAGTACTACATGAACAATAGAGCAATATTCAGTTAGTATGTTTGGTTATTTCATCTAGTTTTTGTGTGGGGCTCTTGGACTGTGCATGATGATGGACTATGTGGGTTTTCCCCTGCTCTGGTCTCCCCTCACTGTGCATTGCTACAGTCACGGCACTTGTGAGTCTGCCGTGTCATTTTTCCCAGTCTTCTCTCCCGTACCCTCCTGCATAGATTTCAGCGCTCCGCGCCATGTTCCCACCCACCCGCGTCCGGTTTGCTCTCCCAGTCGGCAAGCGATTTAGACAATCAGCTGCATTTGCCACGATAGGCGTTGGGTCAGTAATAAGTCATCCTGTCACTCACATCCAGCCACAGATGGGCCATCCTGTCACTCACAGCTAGCCATACTGTTACGCACGACCAGTCACAAGGTGCTGTCCGATCACTCACAGCCAGCCATCTTCTGATTTACAAATATTTCCATCAGACAGAGGGCGACCCTCTATTGGGCTGCTCTGCATTAAGTTCTAGTGCCTGTTGGGTGACCCCCAGCCGGCCTTGCGCCCTCTACCTCACTGACCTGTGCTGCTTTCTTTGTTGCAGTGGAACTACTATGGCCGATGTCTCCGCCCTTATGTGCCCGAAGGCCTGCCTGTGTGTCCCTTTCATAGACACCCTACCCTAAGGTGTTGACCCCTCCAGATTGCCTCGCAGCCTACTCCTCTCGCCCCTGGCTCTAGAGGCTCTAACTCAAACTGTTCTCTCCACCCCCTGGGGACAAGCTCCGCATGCAGGTGTCCCTGGACAGGCTAAGGCGCCTGTGGTACCTCATCCACCTGGGCTCAATACTTCTCAGGTAAGAGTCCTTCCTTATTTGCCTGACATACCAACTACGGGCAGGCTCTCCATTTTTTCAACCTTCGTGACCTCAAAGCGTTTAACAATGTTTCAAGATGGAGGACATTCATCTACTAGGGATTTTGCTCTGCGTGGACGTTCGGTTCTTGCGTCTAAAACCAAGGGAAGCTTTTCTCACTGTGCCAATTCATTGCAACTATAGGCAATTTTCTGGTCGCTAGTCCACATTCTGCAGTTTCCCTGCTCTGTCCCCATGGTGCTTCATAACATTGTTAAAACCAGTCATGACGGCTCAGAGCCTAGGGGATATGGTGTATCGTCTATCTGGACAACATTATACGGATGACACGGGACCCCTTGTGGTCCTTCTGCTCCAGGATCTGTGGTTCGTAATCAATGTGGAGAAGTCATATCTGGTGCACTTTTGGTTGGTCCAGTTTCTGAGCTTCATTGTGGATTTGACTCAAGCGGTGCTCCGTCTCCTTCTCTCCAAGGTGGCCACAATCAGTAAGTATGTCAGACGCTTGCTCCGAAGCCCTCGGCTCACTTTGTGTGAACTGATATGAACGATGGGTCTGCCCTCATCCTCCATTCGGAACATCTTCCCGCAACCCAAGCTGTATTGGGCTCTATTATGCCTGATGGATCGCTATCAGAGGACTTCAGTTTCCTGCGGCCTGATTTTGCTCCTTTCGGACAAGGTGCACTAGAACTCCAATGGTGGCTTCAACACATGGGGACCTGGAACAATGTGGCAATTTGGGCTCCCCTACAGACTTCATCCTAAAATTTTGGTGGGACGCCAACGATTGACAGCTTCATTCCAAGTGTTTTGCGTGTTGGACTTACTTCAGGGTCCCCTCCAACTGGACCTCTTCATGTCCAGGGCAAACCGCTTATGGCATTGTTCCTCATCTGGCTCCTGGATTTTCTAAAGATGCGGCGGTGGACGCATTCATCCAGGTCTGGCCGTTCATGGGAGCATATACGTTGCAGTCTTTCTCCATGATACACAGGACTTTCCATCAAATCAAGTTATTGAGTGTAGATAGTCTTGACCGCACCACTGTTAAGGAGTCAGCTGTGTTCCCCTCTACATCTGGGATTTGTTGTGCAAAGACCTGTTACTGCTTCCTGGTTTCTCCTTTGGACTCCGGCTGGGATCCCGCACCTGTTGATCTTTGAGAGTTGCGGCTCGAGAGTTGCCCTGAGACTGTTGGACGATTCTCTGACCGTCCGGTGAGCCTGGCATTGCTGGTATTTGCAGAGGCATTTTGATCCCTTTGGGGCCCAAGTTGTGGGCGTCCTGAACTCCTTGGCTGCATTGTTTTTTTTCAAGGCTAGACTTTCCGGACAATTTTTGTCTTCCGGTCCACCATCTCTGTGACTTAGGCTTATCCCCATGCAACAGCACTGAGATGGAGCATCTCGGTCTGCAGGCTGCTCCGAGGTATGTCTTACGAGACCACTGCTTCACACTTCCTTGTTCTGGGACGTATCGGTTGACTTTAGTTTCCTTGGGGATTAACCAGTTAACTGAGATTGATCTCCCCATCAGCTTTCAGCCAAGATGTTTTTTCTCCTCTGTTTCGTGTCTTCCCATCGCGCTCAGATATTCGCACTGTTAGCGTGGAAGTTTTTATTACTCTTTTTCCCTGACGGGGTTTCCATTTTCAGTATCTCACAGAACAAAAAGTTTATTTCTTTGTCTGTGTTGAACTCTTATTTTAATGATTGGCCACATCTCTGGGTAGCTCGTTGTCTACAGACCTATTTCACCGTGACTTGGTCTCTTCATTTCTCTGCCAGTGGATGGCTATTGATTTTATATGTGCATCAGTGTTAGGCAGTCTCTGGCTAACTTTGCAGGCATGGCGAGATCCTTCGGGGCACTACAGTATTGTTGACTGGTATCCGGCGGGTCCCTTACGGATTTTTTCCTAGCCGCAGATTGGTCTATGGAGTAGATTTTGTGCTCCAAGGTTTCTTCTGCGTTTAGGTCTGTGCGCTAAAATAGCAAATATGAAGCCTCCTGTTTTGCCCTAAAATTAGGGATTATTCTAGCCTTGGTGAAGGAATAATTAAATTTTATTAAAGACAGGAGGCAAATATCCCCCCCCTCCCCCTGTTTGTTTTGACATTTCCCTCCCTGGATTGTGGGTTATTTCGGGGAGTATTTGTTGTGATTTTGTATTGTTTGTCACGTGTTTAGTTTAATTTTACAGTGATTTAATGCTAGTTGCTGGTTTGAGTGTATTCATTATGTCTTAACATACTGCAGTACTAATGTTTTATATGACATTCTGCCTTGGCAGTTTACTTTCACAATGTTGCTTTTTCCTTGCAGTGTAATCGGGATTTCTTTTGGTTCTGGCGGTTTCTCCTTTGATTGTGCCTACTACAGATTGGCTCAGTTGTATTTCATGCTCTCCTGCTCGACCTCAAAGAAAGAGGAAGTAGGAGGGTCTGTCTGAATGGTTTGTTCTACTGTTCTTAGTTCTGATTGGTTGTTTCTGAAATGTTATGTTAACCATTACTTTGCTGCTGGAGGTTTCAGTAAAGAAGGCAAAGGAAACATTCGCCTCCTGTCTTTAATAAAATTTAGATTATTCCTTTACCAAAGCTAGAATAATCCCTAATTAGCAAACATCTGAACTATGGGGAAAGTATGCATAAAGTTCTGAGGGTACAGTTTGTCACACATTATAATTACCCATTTATTGGCATTATAATCAGCAAAATATAGTGGCAAGGTAGCCTAAAGATTAACACATTCCATCCTTACTAGCAAGAAAAGGATTCACACATCCTCAAAGGTTAAACGCATTATTAAAAACGCCAGGATTAAGTTGGCAAGATAACGAAGACTGCTGAATCTCCATGGTAACCTGAAAATTTGGCAAGAATGCCCTACTGCTGTAGATCTGAATGCAGGCTTCCATGCCACAGCATTGCGTGTAACAAGATCACAGTAGTATAGCAGGAGTTGTTCATTAGCCAAGAGGAAGATTTAGAACTTTAAGGTCATAACAAAGGTGGCTCTGCACGAATGAGCTACTCTATCAAATTCACCTTACATTTGAACTGCAGAACATATTTTATTATTCATTATACCTCAGAAGCTAGAAGTTTTTCATGCATGCTTCTGTACATCTTAATCACAAACTACAAAAACTGACAACTCCAGATACATTGAGTGATCTATTTCAAATATTTGAGTTCACCGTTAAATTAAAAATAAATATAGTTTACGCAGGGACCCTGCCACTACTGATTTTAATTTAAAAAAAATAAAAATAAAATAAAAAAAACACAAAACAGACTTTACACTTCCAGCTGAAGAGACCTAAATGATGCATTACATTCAAATTTACCTTTTCTAAATACTTTGCATGTAGGCAGATTTTGCCATTATTGCAAGCAGAGTTACATTAGTCTTTGCAATTTGGAGGACACATTAATTTAGCAATACTAGTTTTTATGAATATGTAAAGTGGTTTAAAACAGTTACTAAGCACATTTGCTTTAAAGAAACATTATCGCCACTAGAACTACAGCATAATTCATTGTTACTGCCTAGTATCACATCTAGTGGAAGTCACCCAGATGATCAGCATTTCCATGCTCTGCATGGAGAATGCTCCTCAGAGATGCACCGATTCCATGCGGGTCTATAGTTAAATAACTGAAAAGAGACTTGCGCCCATCAAGTTCAGCCTTCCTCACATATGTTTTTGCTGTTGATCCAAAAGAATGCAAAAAAAAAAAAAAAGTCTGAAGCGCTTCCAATTTTGCAACAAGCTAGGAAAAAATTCCTTCTTGACCCCAAAAAGGCAGTCAGATATCTCCTTGGATCAAGCAGCTATTACTCTAATAATTAGAAAAATTTGAAATTATATCCCTGTATGTTATGTTTTTGGAAGTATTTATCCAATTGCTGTTTAAATATCTGTATGGACTCTGATAAAACCACCTCTTCAGGCAGAGAATTCCATATCCTATTTCTTACTGTTAAAAAAAAAACAAAAAAACACTTTCCTTTGCCTTAGATTAAATCTCCTTTCTTCCAGCCTAAATGCGTTACCTTGTGTCATATGTATAGCCCTGTTTATGAATAGATTTCAAGATAATGGTTTGTACTGGCCCCGAATATGAGGAGATGCTGATTGGAGCAATGTTGCATGTGTAAGCCTCCAAATGCTTTTGTACTATGGGATCTCAGCCAGAAAGGTCTGGGAGGGAGGGTCTGCTGGAGATTGGCCGGGATGTGTCAGCTGACCGGAGTTCGCCACCGTTCGCGGGAAGTTCGCGAACGGTTCGCGACATCACTATCCAGGACATACTTGAAAATGAGAGAAATCTCAATGTATCCTTGGTAAAATATTTTAATAAAACAATGCGCTCTCAATGGGATGATTCAGCTCTGATCCCTCTATCTTGTTGACCAAGTTTAAGCAACCTCCAGCACTCCAGATGTGGGATATATCTCCCCTAATGCTAGAACATCAAGTGAAAAAATGTATGTAAAACACTTTGCTAGCATGGTTATATATAGTTTCAAAATGCAATGCTAGAGAGACAGTTATTGGCTATATCCCTAAATCTGATCAGTAATTTTAGTACTTTACATTGGGGCATTCACCACAATAAGTTTGTTAAAGTGGCGCTCAAACTTATTTCTCCTGTTTCCTCTTCGCTTACTTTTTCAGAATCTGTTCTTTCCCTCATTTCTGATGTATTTCTCTTTAAAACATAATAAAAAGTACTTATCCTACACTTGGTAATCTTAACAAGGGGTGTAGCTTAAGTCAGACTTCACATGCTTTGTCTTCTGTTTTAACCCCTTAAGGACCAAACTTCTGGAATAAAAGGGAATCATGACATGTTACGTGTCCTTAAGGGGTTAAAGAGAAATACATCAGAAAGAAGATCAGATTCTGAAAGAGCAAGAGAAGAGTTAATAAGTGAAATGCAAATTTCAGGTGATGGAGCCACTTTAAATAAAATGCATAATCCATAATATGAGGTTTAAAAAATAAAATAAAAAATAAATTAATTTTAAATTACCATCGAGAGGGGGAGGATCTGGTCCAGATTTTTCGAAGTTTATTACTACTCCACTTTGGACTTTTTGGACCAATGATTCCAGACATTGGTTAAGCATTCGCTGTGAGGAAACAGAGTATGAACGCCCTAGAAATAAAACAAAATACTGAACATAAAGAGCAATAAAACCTTACGTGCATACAATTGATCATAAGTAGCCACACAAAACATGGGTTTCAATTGAGTTTTGAAATAAGAAAACTTCTCAGTTTTAAATTTGTTCTTATTTTGAATGTACAGTCAAAATCATAAAAGGGTAAACAGTCCACAGTCTTCTAGTTAACTAAAATCTAATCTACATTAGACAGTATCTGAATTCCTTTTCCTTAAAGGGACACTCCAGGCCAACTCCCACTATTCTTAACCCTGCAAGTGTACTTATTGCATTTTTTTTTTTTTTTTTTTAATAAACTGCAATAATTACCTTGCAGGGTTAACTCCACCTCTAGTGGCTGTCTACTAGACAGCATTAGAGGGCACTTCCGTGTCCCTAGCACAGGAAACCTGTGCTAGAGCGTCGCTGGACGTCCTCATGCTATGTGAGGACCTCCAGCGTCATTCATTTCCCCATAGGAAAGCATTGAAAAGCATTTTCAATGCTTTCCTGTGGGGAGCTCTAATGCGCATACGCGGCTTTGCCTCGCATGCGCATTAGGTCTCCCCGGCCGGTGGACGGGTCAGTCTCGCCCACCGGCCGACTCAATCACTGGGAGGAGCGGCGGCGGGTCTCTAACAAAACAAAATGTTAATTTAAAATTATTGCAATAATAAAACCTAAATATGAATAGTGATTGCCATGTGGGCTACTTGTTTAATATTTTATATTAGGAGGAGAAACTGCTCTATAGAAATAAGTATGCTGCAGAAAGAAAACAAAATATATACACATACATACATACACCTTCTTGACACATTAAAGGAACACAAACATGTATTCCTGACCCTACAATGTTAAACGCACCATTTAGGTGGCTTGCCCCCTCTCAGCCACTTTAAAAAGAAATGAAAACTCCTTTATTTCCAGTGCTGCGCGGGTCCACTGGTGATGGCCCCACCCCGATATCAGAATTGCAGATTTTTTTTTAGACACTTTGGATTGGCTAAAATCGGCTAGGAGCCGGGGCCAAATGCCGTTTTGGCCAATCAGCACTTCTTCATAGAGATGCATTGAATCAATGCATCTCTATGAGGAAAATTCAGCAGAGTGTGGAGACACTGAACGGCACTGCTGCCTACTGTGCACCACTGAGCCAGGAAGCACCTCCTGTGGCCATCTGAGGAGTGGCCACTAGGAGGTGTTACTGCGGGCAATGTAAACACTGCCTTTTCTCTGAAAAGGCAGTGTTTGCATGAAAATGCCTGAAGGAAATTATACTCACCAGAACAACTACATTAAGCTGTAGTTGTTCTGGTGACTATATAGTGTCCCTTTAACTAGACCTAAAATAACCAAACTAATGTTTAGTGTCAAAGCATAGATTTTGCCACAGATGAGGACTCTATTTTAAACTTTCTCATCTACATATAGTGTTCAGGTCTGTTTTGTAGGTTTTAATGTCAGTATTAAAGTTAATCATTTTCGCATTATAATATTTCCTTAGTAAGCCTCTGTTTTAACTTTTGTTACAAGCTCAACATCCTGAAAGTCCAATAAGTGTGCAAGGGAAAAGTAGGGTACACAATTTGTTCCTAGGCCACAGGTAAATTTAGAGCACTGAATTACTTCTGACATGGCATTCACTATGTGCATATTAAACATCAATAAACTCTGTGTGATGCTCCATTAGAGCAGGTAGCCTACAGCAGCTAAGGTTAATATCGGCACACATTATGTACATTAGTGGTGCAAAAGCCAACAGCCAGGGGAAGGCACAGGCATCCACCTATGATTAAGGGCAGCAGCAATACTCCAAACACTGGCATTCATTGTGCTGGCCCTGCTCCAACACAATGGCAGACAGAATCAGAATTGAGATTGTCAAGTAGGTGGGGCCAAACACCAACATCTCCTCAGACATGCATTAAATCAATGCATTTCTACGGGAAGGCTTCAGAGTCTCCACGCAGAACATTTGAGGAGAGGCCACAGGAGGTGTCCCTAGGCTTTCATATAAACATGGCTTTTTTTTCTCTGAAAAGGCAGTGTTTAGATGAAAACCTGCAGGGACTGACTATACTAACCATAATGAAAATATAAAAATATATATAAAACCTTGGACATGAAGATCTGCCACTGCTGCCCCTCTTTTCAGCACTTCAAAGAAAATAAATATCCAGGCACACCTGAGGTTTCTTCTAAAAGGCAGTCTTTAGTTGAAACAATGAAGTGGAGACAACATTTCGGCTCCTCTGAACCTTTATCAACTTGTTTCAAATAAAAAGTGCCTTTTAGAAGAAACCTCAGGTGTGCCTAGATATTTATTTTCTTCCATTTATCGTCTTCAGGGATTGGCCATTCCTTTCTGGAGCACCCTGCAGGTAGTATTCTTTTCTAGTGTGCATTTTACTCTTGTTTTTTGCAAACTTCTTTCCAGCGCTGTTACACGATATATTACACTCCCCTCTCTGCTTCAAGACACTTTCCAAAGCAAGGCACTCTTCTCACTGATAACACAGACATGCTGGCTTCAATTAGAGTCCTATATAAATACAATGACAGGGAGCAGAGGGTCGCCTGAGGGACAGTTCTCTTGCTTTTCTCAGTCACTGAATCCTCTGATTAGGTCAGTGCTTAGCATACAGGCCTAACGCAGAGGATTATTATCGCCATTTATATAGCGCCAACAGATTCCGTAGTGCTTTGCAATGTTATGAGATGGGGGATTTAACTATAAATAGGACAATTACAAGAAAACTTACAGGAACGATAGGTTGAAGAGGACCCTGCTCAAAGAGCTTACAGTGTATAGGAGGTGAGGTGTAAAACACAATAGGACAGGAAATAGCAATCAAATAAGGTGGGAGTGAAGCAGCCGGAGGAGAGAGTAAAGTGCTGCCCTTTAGGATACAGCAAGTAACAGGTATGTGAGGTAGAGGTTACTCTGGGAGGCCATAAGCTTTTCTAAAGAGATGGGTTTTAAGTCACTTATTAAACAAATGAAGACTAGGGGAGAGTCTGATGGCGGTAGGCAGGCTATTCCATATGAAGGGAGCCGCACGCGAGATGTCCTGCAAGCGTGAGGTGGCTGTACGGGTGCGAGAAGCGGACAGGAGGTGGTCACGGGCAGAGAGGAGAGACCGAAAAGGTGCATACCTATAGATCTGTGAAGAGATATAATAGGGGCAAGAATTGTTTAGTGCTTTATAGGTATGTGTTAGCACTTTGAATTGACTCCTATAGGATACAGGAAGCCAATGTAAGGACTGACGGAGGGGTGAGGGGACCGACTAGAGAGGAAAATCAGTCTTGCAGCAGCATTCATTACAGACTTTAGCGGGGCAGAAGTAGGAGGGACCAAACCTTAAGAGTATAAAATGAAATTCTATATATTCGCAAGTATTTCTGCTGGCACAATGTATAGATTAAATATACTGCTTTTTAATTTAAAGCCCCAGAAAAGTGTATCCTGACAGGTACATTTTAAGCAGATGTCAGGTTTGAAATACAGTTTTACAGAAATGACCATAACCGGTTCTAAAAACAGATACAGAAATGACCATCCACAAATCATTAAAACCTGCCATAATGAGAATCTACTTTCTGTTTTTAATCTGACAATTTTCAATTCAATGTATTTAGTTTTAAAAGATCAATAAGTGTCACATCTATAAATGGTTTTAGAATTGTTGCATTGATTTAAAAAGCCCCTGTTTTACTCACCCCCTGTAACATCACACATTGGAGCAATGGAGGATTCATCTAACTGGACAGTAATTTGTTCTTGCTCTACAGAGGTGGCACCAGGCAAACGAAGCACTAAAGCAAAAAGTCTCTGATCCCAACGAAATGGTTCCTTTGTTAATTCACTCCCAGGTAATGGAGAATTTAGTGGCAAGTGAAGCTAGAATTATAATTGCATTTAGTTAGGCACAGTTACATATTTGCATTACATGACATTTGAGTAAAAAATAAAAAACAAAATAATTTAACAACTTGTTTGACACATGTGGGTGCCTTTTGAATAACAAGGTCCTAGTGTGATTTTGTAACATTAATAGCTGCCTCAATTCCAATTTCAGCAAAATCAGTCGGGAAGTAGTCTGCTGGTGAATGACAACATGCAATAAAGAAGTTTAACAGTGACAGTACAATATAAGAGTTAATGGAAGTAGTAGAGTGTTAAAGACCAGTGGACCTGGGAGACATTCAAACTAAATGACAGAAATGGAAAACAAAGCAAGAATGAAAACATGAAGAAATAAGAGGATTGAATTGGAGGATAGTGGAATGAAGGAAAAAAGACAAAAGAAAGCAGTTTGGTACAGCGGCAATAAGGCAATGCTTTTAGTACACCAAAACAAGTTATGCAAGGCTGGAAAGCCTTAATCATGCCTCAATTTTAGCATTGCTTTAAACTATTTAGTATTTGGCAGGATGCTGGCAACTTCAGTTAAGTGCCACTGAAGTGCTTAGGATTATGCTTTGTCTGTGCAACATTCTTTTGATTTTAGAAATTGTAACTCCATGCATGGGTAGTACTGGTTGTCACATTCAATGTAAACAAATGAAGAGCTTTAGCTGAAAGCTGCTACTTAAACTTTAGTGAGCAGAGACAAATAGCTTCTGGATTGGACAAATATCTAAAATATGGAATTAAAGGAACAGTGTAGTGTTGTTTTAAATGTTTAGGTGCCCAGCCCCTCTGGAGTTAAAAGGTAAGTTATTTACATTTTATAACTTTCTGGTATCGCCGTGGCTGGCCCCTCCTCCATGGCTGAGATCAATCTTTATGGTCTCAGCCAATCCAATGCTTTCAATTAGGAATTTTTCAATTAGAGGGACAAAGGTTTAAAAATAATATCAGGAAGTATTACTTTACTGAGAGACTAGTGGACGCATGGAATAGCCTTCCAGCTGAAGTGGTAGAGGTTAACACAGTAAAGGAGTTTAAGCATGCGTGGGATAGGCATAAGGCTATCCTAACTATAAGATAAGGCCAGGGACTAATGAAAGTATTTAGAAAATTGGGCATACTAGATGGGCCGAATGGTTCTTATCTGCCATCATATTCTATGTTTCTATGTAATGCATTGGGAGGCCATTGCGCATGCTCAGAAAAAATGCCACGCTGCGCCAATCAGCATCTACTCAGGGATGCATTGAATCAAAGCAGCTCTATGGGGAGCGTTTAAGGTCTCCATGCAGAACATGAGACACAGTGTACCCAAGAAGCACCTCTATTGGCAGTCTGAGTAATAGCCAATAGAGATGCTGCCTGAAAAGGCAGTGTTTACATTGAAAAGACTGCAGGAACATGCTGTAGACACCAGAAACCCCACATTAATATGCATTGGCCCTGGTGACTATAGTATCCCTTTAAAGTCTCCAAAACATCTGTGATTCACAATTCAAAATAAGCACACATTTGTTTTGTGGAGGTACATTACATCCTCCCTGTAACTTAAAATGGGATTTATTTTTCTTTACATCAATTTATGGCAAAACATAAAAGTAAGCACTTCAGTTCAAAGACCGCATACTTTAACATAACTATAGATTATATATTACATACAGTTATACGATTAGATAAATGAGGCCAATTAAAAAGTACTGCTACAAAGAAGAGACCGCTATCCAGCATATAAATAGTATAGTTGGCCATATACGCACAAGGCAAAAATGATCCACTAGCAATCTTTCTAAAACAGTGATGTAGTCTTAAATTCATTAAAATAGTTCCTCAACCAAACATCCCTATTTAAATGCATTATATACACATTTTAAAAATGTAAAGGGACACTATATAGTTACTAAAACAACTACAGTTTAACGTAGTAATAGTTCCCTTCACGCATTTTCATGCAAACATTGCCCCTAGGGACACCTCCAAGTGGCCACTGGAGGGGCTTCCTAGCCCAGGGCTGCAGCCCTGCCGTTCAGCGTCCCCACGCTCTGCATGGAGAGGCTGAATTTTCTTCATAGAAAATGTTAAATGGAAAAGCATTGGATTGGCTAATAATCAGCCATTTTGATGTCACAAAGGGAGCGGAGACAGCACTGGCAGACCCGCGCGCGGCGCTCGAAATAAGGTGAGTTTTAAACTTGTATGGTGGGGCAAGCCACCTAAATGGTGTGTTTAGCACTATAGGGCCAGGAATACATGTTTGTGTTCCTGACCCTATAGTGTTTCCTTTAAGGGTAAAAATTTAAATATTAAAAATAAATTAAAAAAAAAAAAAAAAAAAGTACCTTTATTGTTTCCCTATGTGCAACTTTTAGTTTGTCGGCTACAGCTGTCACCAGTCCAACTCCAAGTAGAAACTCTGCTGCTGGACTTGGCTATTATTCAAAATAATGTTCATTTGGTAATATCAATGCTTTAGTCGCTATATATTGAGGACTATCAACTGAACTGTAAAATCAGACTTGGGAATATTATAAAATGGAGCAATGATGGAGATTTTACTGTATTAAATAATCTGTTTAAAATCAGACTATTTTCTTTGCACGATTGGTTAAATGATTTGAAAGAACACCGCATACATGTACCATCAGCCTGACATTGGTAAGTTACACTACCAGGCAGCAGCTGCCGCTATTAGATCACCTCCATGTTGGTTAATAATGTACTAGGTGTGGTCCAAGGTAGCAGAATTCCACAGTTTCTGCCTTCCCAGCTACTCTCTGCATATCTGAAATGGAGATGGCTGAATTAAGACCAGTAGCTCTGAAAATAGTTGCTGTCTGAGTGCAACTCCACAAATCTCAGGCAGGCTGGACTGTGTCCTGTCTCAAGATTAAAGGGACCCTATAGGTACACCGACCACTTCAGCTCTTTGAAGTGACCTGGGTGCAATGTTCCTGTCCCCTTAGTCCTGCAGTGTAAATCATTGCAGTTTTAGAAAAACTCTAAAAGCTGCCAGACAGCCACTAGAGGCACTGCTTGCCAAGAGACTTCCGGTCGCCTGATGGGCCTTATTAACACGTCGCGCATGCGTCAGACGTCTGATGAGGCAGAGAACCGACCCAGCACTGAGGGATGTCTGTGCTGGAATCTGGTAAGTTAAAAAGGTTTTTTTAAGCCTTACAGTGCTTTAAAGGACCTCTATAGTGCCAGGAAAACACTAGTTTTCCTGGCTCTATAGGGTCTCTAGGTCCCCCCTCCCGGCTAGGTGGCTATCTGACATTCAATAGAGACAGTGTCCTCTATAATTGCAATAATTTACATCACAGGGCTAAGTTGAACAACTGAATGATACAAGAACGTTTGCATGTATGTAGGGGTTCATAAATGCTGGATATAACACTTGTATTATATTTTGGAGTTCCTGGACTAGCCAGATCTCCAGTACTTTCCTATATTGCAGATTAAATATTGTTTCTCCCTCCATCTTTCCCCTGCTTGTATTATATCCCCAGTGGGGTAGCTTTCTCTATAGGACAAGCACCAGTCCTGTGACAAGGACAGTCCCCTCTTTTGCATTCTTTACAATACATATACCTCCATTTCTGCTTTCTACCATTTCAAAATCCTCTGTTTAGTTGCTCCTTCCTACCATCCCTGCATTTGTTTTTTACCTTGGTCCCAGGTCATATTTTAACCATTCTTACCCTGGCAATGGACTAGTAAGTCAATTACTGGACCAATGCTGCTCCCAAACAGTGCTAACTAGCAGTGGTAATCTCACATACATGTAGTCAGGACACTTACTGTTCAAATAAAGGCCAACACTGGGCTGCAGGACAAACTTAGTGGGATAGCCCTATGGCCCAGTTGAATCACTGCTAGTTCAACCCTGTATGCATTTTACTTTGCTGTTTAAAATTAGAAATTCACACAATTTACATCATACAGTTGTGTCTTGTTTTATTTAAAAAATGGATATAAGCACGCCATGAGGTACATACCAAGTTACTATTGTGTTCAAATAAACAAATCGATATTTACATTAATCCACTGAAGCCAAATAAAGTGGTTTCTTCACAGCAGTGATGGGAAACCTGCGGCCCTTGAAGGGTCGACCTGTGGCCTGTTCAGCCTACAAGATAAATGTAATGACTTGATGGCATTTCACATGGCCCGCATCAAAAAGATAAAGCAAGTTTTATAAATTATAACAGAGTAATGGCATTGTATTGCAGAAAAGCTTACTTCATCTTGAATGCCGCTGGTTGAGGTCAGTTTGCTTCCATCAGTTATTGCAATAATTATTGCTGGCTCCAAGAAGAAAGGGTTCCTTCCCTGCAGGAGAAAATGTATTCACTTAGATTATATAAAACCTGTATCTGTAAAGCATTTCAGATTTGTGTCCAAGACTAGAATTTGGGGGAGGGGACGGACACACACACACACACAACTCCCCCCAATACACCCCCCCCTAATACACACCCCCAAACACACACACACACACCCCCCAATACACACACCCCCAATACACACACACACACACACACACACACACACCCACCCCCAATACACACACACCCACCCCAATACACACACACACCCACCCCCAATACACACCCACCCCCAATACACACCCACACCACACCCACCCCCAATACACACACCCACCCCCCCAATACACACACCCACCATAGTATTGTGTGCAATGTTCAAATAAAAGTGCACAATTAATAAAGCTAATTGTGTAGTCAGATGAAGCCCATGTGTTTCATTATCAGATGAAATGAACTATTATCGGTATTGTAGCCTTTGCATGTTTGTTTGTAATGTATTAAGATAAGTAAATATCTCCTTGGGGTAGAATTGCTTCATGTGTGACGGCCATCTTTAAGTCCTCTGGACAGAAGCACTGCTTATCCGACCTAAGATCATAGAGTTAATAGAGAGCTAGTGTGCATTCATGACCCCTGGCATAATGGGAAACCTGGGAATCAAAAAAATAAATAAAAATATGCAGTCACTGGATGTCAATGGGTCCTCCCTGAAGCTTCACTATGTTGTAGTCTAATGACATGGTGTTCTTGTTTGGTCACAAATTGGACAGTCGCTCCAAGGGTAAAAAGTAGAGTCTTCTATATCAACCAACAAATGGTTCTACACCTAAACATTGCAAGACCATGACAAGCCACAAATATCAGTGTTGACTTGAAGTCATAAATGTAATTTTAAATCAGACAAAGGCCAACAAATACTTCAAACCAAAATACCAGAACTGTATATAAAGACACTTAGTGAGATAACCCAAGCATTATTCCTAGTGTAAAACTTAAATTCGCAATACCCTATTTGACCATTTCCTAACATCTTAAGTTACTCAATATCAGAACTTCATTGTTTAGAAAGTTAGAAGTTAACAAGGCAATACATTGTAGTAACGTAAACTCGTTTAGGCAGGATTGTCTCATTTATATATATATATATATATATATATATATACATACACACACACACACACACACATACACACATACACACATACATATACATACACACACACAGTGCTGCAACATATGTTGACACTATAAATTATAATGTACAATGCATATTCTATGCATAAACATTGTTAGAGGTTCACAAATACTACAATTACTTGGTAAGATTAACTGCCACTGCATAATTATTAAAACAAATGTTCTACTTCAGTATTAAAATTAACTCTGCTGTCCAAGATATTAAACACAAAAGCACGCATCTTATAATCCAACATGCATTTGGCATGAAATGTTGAGAGGTGGGGGGAAAGCCATCCTGTCTGTATATTACTGCAGAAATGCATAATTCTTCAGACAGACAAGCTTGTACGCTATGCAAATGGAATGCATTAGTCTGCCCCCTGGTGATAGCATGACAAATCTCACACCCAAATTCAGACATGCAAACCACAGCACACAACACAATGAAATCTAGGAGCCTCTTCAACTTAACAGAATGGTATAAAGCACCGAAAACATACATAAGAATGTTTTGATACAATAAACCTCATGCTAAATGAAGCTATTTTTGTCAGAGATGACATTTTGCTCCAACATATTGTAATCTATTTAAATTTGGTTTGATTTTAACAAAGTATAAATCTTAACCTACCTCAAATGCATTACCCTAGCGCAGACCTAGGCCTTGTTTTTGTAAAAAGTCTACCGTACTTAGAGGTAAAACATACAGAAGTATGTACACTTTTCACAAATTAATTTACCTAAAAGTTTTTGCTTGGGCCCTACCCAGCACTAATACAGTGCATAACAATATACACTCATACATTTAATCTATAACAAACAATGGAATAGTCCATAGAGCAATATATTTATTCCATACAGTTAAAAACACACTGGTATTAAAGACTTCCTCACAAACTTGGTACAAATCAGCAGTCAAATCACAGCACAGACTCATGGTCTAGCCCCTGGTAGTATATATATGCCTTGTTCTCTGGATCCCAAATTGCCAGCACAAAATCAAGGTCTAGCCACTGTGAAACATATATGCAGGAGGTGTATATGTTTAACAGCAGCTAGACTGATTTTATGCTGTTAGGCACCAATTCTGTGCTTTAAAAACAAAAAACACGTTTTAAATACTGGTGTGAAAATATATAATTCATGGAATAATTATACTTCACTATGGAAGATTCCATTGCCACACTTATGCTTCAGATTTAATGTGTAAATTAGTGCAATTGGAGCATGGCAACAAGCAGTATGGGAATCCTCAAAAGAGATTGTTCATGGACTTGTAAATAAATTCTTACAGTGCATTTTACATGTGTTGTGTCAGCATAATAGTAGGAATACTGTTATTGCAATCTATACCTCCCTATTTGTTTTTTGCAAACCGTGAAGGATGCACAACATTGGGCTAAGCGAAGTGATGGCCATTCACATCATCCATTTTACTGTAAGGGATTTGTATGTATAAGTTTGACAATTTCATGAGCTAAAAAAAATATAAATAAAACTAGAAAAGCTACAATTTCTGGGGAAATTGTGTGAAGTGTTCTTGCCTCCACCAGTAGTCTACAACTGGAGTGGGCGGAGTAACTGTTATCATTTATATAGCACATTTAATTGCAACGTTGTTGCACAGTTACATTAAACCATACATTTATAAAAACATTAGCAGGTGTTCAAAAGGCCCTGTCTATGACATCACTTGCTGCTGCAGCCTGGCACAGGTCAGAGTATTTTGGCGGTTGCCATCTTCAAACGGTCGTATTTTAAAAACTATAAATCCTACAGCGAAGAGCTTTATATTGTGAGAATCACAAGACCCAGACCTACATTTTGATGCATAGTATGTCTCTGAAGTATTAATAATGAAGGCACAGTCGCAGTTTACAAATTGCACTTCAAATTTGAGCTTTGTAGAGTGAAGTTTCAATGAATGTCAATGGACGGCGTTAGTTGCAAACAAATGATTATATTGTGAAAACTATCAGGACTATGGCTTAGCCATTGACATGTTTAGTGGCAGCAGGGATAGCTGAACGTTTTGATATATGATTTGTGTAGGTGGGCCTGAAAATAAGGGAGTGGTGGCAGTTTAGAAATCATGTCCTGATTTTTCAGCTTTTGCCAGCTCCCACTCTAGCTTTGCCATTCATTCCTATGGGACAAATTTCGCCACAAGAACGACGATATTCCGTGAACCATTCGGCGAAACGTTCCACAAAGTAATAGCAATCCGATCGGGAACAATCTGCACGTTTTGGTAAATTTTTGTCTATGTAGTGTAAAAACTGTGGGTGGAGTTAGGGTGGCAAATTTGGCTATAATAAGAATAATAATATATATGTGAGATAACAATAAGTGGTCTTGCTATGCAAGAACACTTAATTAAAATTAAATAATGGAGAAGAAATTCCAGTAACAGGAGCATTGTATCGCATACTGAAATATTCCAGGAAAAGGACTTTCACAGAGCAAACAAAAAACAAGCTAAAACCTAGGAACTTGAATTTAGATTAAAAAAAGATCTGTAAATTAGAATCACACTGCACATTAGCATGCATGCCTTCCTAATATAGATATATTGGTCCAAAACTGTGCAAGGAAATATATATTCAGTAGGTTCCACATACAGTGTATAAATACAAGCAATTAATTTTGATCCAGAGCGCTACAGCAGAACCTTTGAGCACTTTCTGCAACTCTAGCTTACCCATGCAGTCTCTGCATAAAACCCCCCACAAATCTAGTTTAATACATGAATTGCAAGTTACTTTTAGAGGAGATTGTGATAACTTGGGGAGACTGGACAGGCAAGTAGAACAAGAGGTGCAATGCCCTACTACAACAAGAACAAATCAAGCAGCATGCACTTCCCCACCTAACTCAGCTTAGCAGCACTGACAGCAGTTAGGACATTGCATTGGATTTTCTCAGATGCCAACAAGGCAGGTTAAAGCTTATCAGAATAGCAAATCCAATGCGTTTAGTAGATATGCTCATGTAGAAGAATGTGTCAAGAAAAAAAAAAATACACACACACACACACACACACACACACACACACTGGTGAAAAGTAAAGAAAATAAAGGGTTTCTCTTTTGATTCAGATGGGTGTGCAGCATTGGTGAGTTATTTCTGGAGAAGTGACAGGACTTGTTCCTAGAAGGACTCCACCTTATGATTGCTATGTGACAGTGCTAAGCAAACAAGTACAAACTTAATGAATCAGTAACATGAGCTTGCATATATGCAATTCATTTTAATTAAAATGACACTATAGTCACCAGAACAATTACAGCTTAATGTAGTTCTGGTGAGTATAGCCTGTCCATGCAGGCTTTTTGTTGTAAACAGTCTTTTCAGAGAAAAGGCAGTGTTTACATTCCATCCTATGGACACCTCCAGTAACCACTCAAGTGGCTACTAGTGGTGCTTCCTGGGGCAGTGATGAACACTGTGCCTTTAGTATATGAGAGGATCTTTCAGCCATATAGAAGCACTTTGGGTCACAGTGTTTTACATCTACAGTTAGTCCCTGCGGTCTGTTTCTGTGCAGAGTGAAGCAGGAAAAAAATAAATAAACAAACAAAATCACAGAGACTAAACAAACAGTCTGTTTTCAAAACGCTTTCTGACCCGAGATTCATGTATGTGGCTCAAGGATCATCTCTTACACTAAAAGTAGGGACAAAATTCGCATTTTTACATATAATTCATAAAAAAAAAAAAAATTTAAATCTATATGTCCATTCAAAACCTGAAGTTAGGATTATTCAATGTAAAGAATACAGTAGTTTAAAAAGGTGACCAGTTTTCTTTTAACCCTCTGTTGCAGGCGCTCTAATTCCACCTCGAGCAGTATTACTGGGGCATCAGCCAGCCTGGCTGTCAAATCTGTGCAGAGTGGTGAGCCAACACAGTCAGCCAATGAATGGTGACTACATATTCATCCAGAGCAGTGGTAGTCAACCTGGTCCCTACCGCCCACAAGTGGGCGGTTTGGGATTTCAGGTGGGCGGTGGTGAGTTCTTCAGAAAATGCCCAGTGGGCCTCGATGGCCATGGACTAAGGCCAGCAGGGGAGATCCTTTCATCTCCCCTGCCGGCCCATATGCATAGCTTGCCTTGCTGTAACCCCTCTCGGGCTGGTGAGATTTCCCTCACCGGTCCGCTGGCACTTAATTCCAAAAGTGCCAGATAAAAAGGGAGGGGAGACATTAAGATAGATTTTCACATCTCACCCACCTGCACACAGCAAAGACCCTATGCCCCCTACACACACACAGCGCGCACCACACACACACACAGCGCACCCTTCACACCGCGCACAAAAAAAAAAAAAAAAAACCCTTTCTTAATAAAAAAAAAATTGAACTTGTGCTATAAAATTAGTTACTGTGTCACTGTTGAGTGCTAAGGAAATTTTACCATCAAAGATACAAAAGTGGGCGGTCATTATTGAAAGGTTGACTACCCCTGGTCCAGAGCTCAGTAGAGTCTGGAATGAGCATCCAGCAGGGACACAGGTAAGGAGGCAAACCATTGATTAAAACAGTCTGAAGACCATTATTACATAGTCCTTAGAGATGGATCAAGTCATTTCAAAGAGAGGCTTATAGAAGCAGCAATTTTTCTGTCAATTGTAGAAAATTGCTGCTGCGATAAGGCAGCCCACTTGGGCGGTCAATCAGTTACCCAGAGCATCTAGTATGGGGTAGTTTTATATCAATTTGGTCCCCATTGTTCATCTACAGAATAATTCTACCTCTGTGATAACGTGATAGGTGAAAAAGCTCTTTGGGGATAAGCGGTCTATGGAAGAAGATTTGTCCCCGTAGACCACATGTGGAACCTTATTAGGGAACCTAATCCTTGAGTAGGAGGGGCCTGACAACAACAACAACTGCAGACAAACTCCTTAAGTGCACTTTACTATTAAAGAGGGAAACTTTAAAGCTAAGCAACTTTTTTCTAATACATCTACAAACAATGCATTTTTAACAAGTGTTTTATTTTGTTTGATTAAACAGCACAGACTACAGCTAACACACAGCATTTACCTGCCTAGTGTTAAATTTTAAATCCATGAACAGATTTCACTGAATGCATGTTTTAAATGCTGAAACAAAGAAAGCAAGATAACTCATCCAGATGCAAGTATCATTTCTAGAAAAGCCCAGATTCAACAGCTTTACTAGAAATATAAAAGGATGATGTGTAAGTCTACCTCCGTTTCATGACATCTACACTATGAATAAGCAATGTACGACAAGCTATACTGAACCAATTAGGTTTTCCTTGCAAATACAAAACAGTGAAACATCTATTAACATTAATGCAGATGATACTTCCAGATTTATTATGCATATTTACATAGAAACTCTACATATAAAAGGGAATACTGCACCACATGAACAGTCAGCCACCACAGTATGACTTGGGTATAATACCACTGTCTTTCAGAAAGTATATTTTGGAAGGTGGGTCGGGTCAACATTTGAAAAACAAACATGCTTGAAATGAAAGATTAAAGCGAAAAAATACTATCTTACCACACTAGCAAGTATGCCAGATGAATGTCCTGGGGGTGGGGTTGTCAATTTAATTCCAAGTTTCACAGTTGCAGCCATCCTTTTACACAAAAGCCTGGTTCAGAACCACTGAAAACTGTGCTATGGTTTATGATAGATGGTAAAATGGGTCTAGTAAACCATTTTTATCTAAATCACTTTCTCTGCAAAATAAGCCAACAAAAAGATACTTGGCTGTGATCAGTGTAAAGGCACTGAAATTGTGTTTTCCCCTCTACCAGCTTTGATCACAATGGGTCTAAAACATAAATCACTATGTGTAGTATCCGTGAATAACATGGTTGTTCACCATAATATGCAACCTACCTGCCCATAGTTGTCTATGCCAGTTACTAATCTATTTAAATTTAACAAATCAAAGGCTGTCCTTAGTGACTGGCCAAGGGTGGTGAGTCCTACTGCTTGAAGATGTTTCAGTTCATTCATAAATGTCGCATGATTTTCTTTCCATCCGGCCTGTAAAGAGAAAGGTAAGAAACGTGTCCTTCAGATTCCCAAGGCTAACCTACACTACTATCCAGCTGATAAGCTTGATTTTTTTTTCCAGCTAGTCATAGTTCTAATGTCACTCGGTTCAAAACATTTAAATCAAATGCAGCCACATTGTTAAAAATTCCATAGAAAACATTTAATCTTAAAGGGAAAGTATAGGGGGGCAGGATTCCCTATTTGTAGTGAACTATAAAATGCATTAAGAAAATAGGACATACCTACCTTTAAAGATCGCAGCAGATATACGGTGATTGGCTCTGCCTGCAGCTGCCAAGCAGATACCTCCAAACGTGAGCATATCATTTTGGTATTGGTATCTATTCTTCTGCCACAAATTTCTGTTCAGCAGAAGTTTGTGGCATAATTAGGTTTATCCCTAAAGGGCATATAGGACAAGTGGAACTGCTCTATACATGGATACCAGCCATAATGCAGCAGCTATCATTTTACTCAAAGCCCCATTCACCATTTAGCAGTGCCGCAAGTCTTAGGAGACCGGTCAGTTAGGCCAAGCACATACACCTTTAACAAAGCGAATTTCAGCGTGGCCGTAATGAGCATACCAGCTGCCTGAAAGGTCTGTCTTAGAGCTGCATCTATTTTTACAAACTACTTATTTTCTAAATTACTGCAAGCAAGGAATTCAACACCATCAACTTTCCCATAATGCAAAGTTGCGATGTTGCTTAAAGCCCGTTGTAGTGGTTATGATGCCAGGAGTACCTGGCACGGTTCTCAGTAACGTGGTAAACCATTTTGCAACATTCTGCCTCTTACCAGGGTCCCCAATGGCCAGTGACAGAATCCAACTTCTGCAGAGTTGCAGAAGTCAGTCCTGCTAACCATCCATTGGCTCAGGGCATCAGCTGACCACTCTCAGCTAATGAATGCAATTCTGTGTAGAAAAATGTGCACAGAGTTGAGCCTTGGGCATCTGTGACCCTGATGCCAGCTCACCAGTTGCCCTTCCACTTTTGGTAAATACTAACCATTGCAGACCAGGCACACTCCACAAGACTTGCTGTGGTGGAGATGCTCTGACCCAGTTGTCTAACCATCACTATTTGGTTCTTGTCAAAGTCACTTGCCCATTTTTCCTGCTTCCAACACATGATATTCAAGAAGTGACTGTTCACTTGCTGCCCAATATAGCCTATTCATTGATCGGTGCCACTGTATATAATGATCAATGCTATTTACTTCACCTATCAGTGGTTTTAATGTTATGGCTGAGCAGTGTATGTAGCGTGTACTTTTTGCCATGTTCAGTTATTTTGTGCAGTAAATCTGCTGCACATACAAAGATATATTCTATTTTGTGCCAGAAGATAGTTACATACCCAGCACATGTAACTTAGGCAATCTGCCTAATGTTGGCTGGTATCTACCTGTATCTCCCCTCTCTAAATTAAAGGACCACTATAGTGCCAGGAAAACAAAACTTGTTTTCCTGGCACTATAGTCCCCTGAAGGTGCCCCCACCCTCATGGCACCCCTATCGCCGGTGCTGAAGGCGGAGGAAGGGGTTAAACACTTACCTTTCTCCAGCTCTCTTGGCGCTGGGGACTCTCCTCCTTTGGACGTCATAGGCTGAATGCGCATGCATGGCAAGAGCCGCGCGCACAGTCAGTCCATAGGAAAGCATTCTCATGAAATGGTCTGGGTGCCTATAGTGGTACTTTAAGCCCTTGCACTTGTCTCCATCTCCCTATATTGCCAATATCCCATCTCCCTCCCCACCCCCCAATACCCTCTCTACCTTCCCTGTCCCCCACCCCAAGCCCTCGACTCAGTGTGTGCAAGCACTCTAAGCTAGTGTAAACTGTCCGTTCAAATGCTTCTTTGAGAAGCATTTGATTGAACCGTGCAAAGGCAGCAGCTGCATCGGATTTCATAAACAGTGCTTCTAGATTTGTTTAAACTTTTTTTTTTAATTTTTAAAAATTATTCTAATCTTTTATGCGTTAGAATTTGTATAACCTCCTGAAGGAGTTAAACGGGAGAAAGAAACAAGCTTATTTTGACTGCCATTTTTTCCATAAGTTTGCATTGTCCTGGAACAAGAATTTTGGTCCAAATTGTTCAGTGAGGACCCCTGATTCTATCCAAAAAGAGACAACAGGCCACACAGGTTTCAAATGACTGCAAGTAGACACTTGCCATTTTGTTGTACCAATGCCATGAGAACTAAAAACACCTAAAGGCAAAAATGTACTGACTTACAGTTTAGATATTGAAAATGCTTTTGTCCTTTATATTGCATTATGAAGATGATGTAAAGAGCACTGAGTGATACAAAAGCATTTAAAAGGACAATCTAAGAAAAGCATAATCTTAACGTAGAGGTTTTGATGCATAGACCTTGCTCCGATCCTTTGGCAATGTTTACATTTATGACAGACCACCTCTAATTGTTTTCACACGACGTTAGACGCACGTCCTCATGAAGTTCTACAAAAGTCAAAGGTCTTTACTTTTGGCGTCCTCATGCCCAGCATTACGACTTGACTAATGCCTCCGACAAAGAAGCATTGGATATAGTGTTTTCCATTAGAATCATCAGATAGGTGAAGCAATCGCTACACATATACCATAGGCCCCCAATGCTTCTGTATAGAAAGTATTGTATTGGACCAAGATCATAAATTACATTGGACCAAAACCACAAGTGCTGAATTACAGGTAAGTTTAAAGGCATTTTTCCTTCTATTATTTTGTGGTCCTATTGTATAAAAGCAAATATTTTTTAAATATATAAAAAAATATATATATATATATTTTTAACCGCATAGTGCGCCAAAAAACAGTTTATTTTTAAAATTGGGAGAATTATGTAAATTCACATTCAGTCAACCTAAACGTTTATCAGAGGCTTGTTATAAACTTTCAGAAACTAAATATTTTAACATCCTTCTTCCCTGTTACTTTCCAAATCAGAGATAAAAAAAAAAAAAAATTATGTTTATATATGCGCACACAAATATAATTAAATGGGAATTTTTCCACCCCACTAAATAAAATCTGTTAAACTTGATGGCCTTTTTCTGTATTCCACCTAGGAGACTATGCAACTCTGAAAGGCAGCAACACTGTCTGGTAACGAAAATGACAGTAATAATATTGAGATGTGCTGATTAGGAGAGCTGGGGACTTGCAGAGCCTCTGCCTAGCAGCCCTAACACTCCAGGGCCTGTGCCGTGCAATGCATACTCCCAGTGGGGATGTCACTTTTAACTAGAATCCACATCTCCCATAGTGCACTACTGCTGCTGGTTTGTTTGGGAGGGGGGGGGGGGATGTCGGCCATGTTTCTGTCAGCTCCTTGCTGTGTGTATGCTGGGAGAGAGGCTGCATGCTGCCAGCCCTGGCACACACATGGCACAGCATGGGGGGCATAGCATGGGGGCAGGGTGTGAGTGCAGCATAGGGCATGATTACCTTGATACCATAAGGAGGCTCCTCCAGGGTGACCAGCATGTACCTGTCTCCTCTGCTAGCAGGGTCCCGGGATCTGAGCTGGGGAGACAGAGAGGGGCACATGGGGGTCAGCAGTGAAATAATAAATAAAGCAATCACCAGACATTACACAAGCAATAGGCAGCCCCTCATTCCAAGAGAGAGGGGGGTCCCTGCCACCCTCCCCCCCCCTCTATGGTGCTAGGGGTACTATACCTTCATGAAAGTCTCTACAGCGCCTTTAGCTATGTCCAGGTAGGTAGTGCCCAGGTGAGTGCGCTGGTTCATGGAAGCGGAGGTATCTAGCAGGAAGAGTAAAATGGGCATAGTGCTGCTGGCTGGCAGGGAGCTGCTCCTCTATGGGCAGCCACATTCACCCAGCTCAGAACAGGAGGGCAGGCTGCTTCAGTATGGGGGGCTGGGGGGGCTAAGCACTGGGTTCCCACAGCCCCATGCTCCCTCCCTTTCTGTTATGACAGACTGTGGCCTCCAGACCACTCAAAGTGAGAGCCTAATAATAATAATAATAAGGCTTATTCAGAGGCTGATGGTGTGTGAGGGGTTAATCAATGCTGACCCACTCTCTAGTTGCCCCTTGCCTGGTTATATATAAATATATATATTTTAAGAAGAGTATATGGTTTCAGGGTTAAAGAGGTAGTGGGCTGTTTATAAACCCCCCCCTCAGTGGATGTAACAGAAGTGTGACTGAGTTCAGCACTACTTCCCCGCTCTTCACTCTCTCTGGCAGGCTCTGTCCCTCTCCACTGAAAGCTTGCGCTTGCCTTCGCAGTTTTTAAAGCGGGTGGGAGGGGCTTGAAGGAATCCTGGTGTGGCAACGTCAACCGGCCACGTGACTCCTCCACGCCATTGGTCCGCCGCTTCCTCCATCTTTAGTAGCATATTTGCATCGGTGGGCGTGTGCTTAATAAGAGGGGGTGGGAGGGGAGAATTCTGCGTGCGGCGGTTGGTCTCGTGCACTTTTTTTTTTTTTGTGGCTTTAGATGGGAGGGGCTATTGTGTGAGGGGGCGAGCGCGCGAGGTCGAGCAGGAAGGAGCGCGCGTTTCACCCCTTATAACGGATGTCTACGTTGTCTTTTTTTTTTTTTAAATTAAGGTCGTTTTATGATCAGCAAACGTCGAATTGTAAAATTCAGGCTAACAACGACCAAGCACTGACTATAGCAAAAAAATTCCAAATCAGTGCTTTCAGCCTCAATTTTTTTTTTCTCAAGCATTATTATTATTAAAAAAAAAAAAATCCCCCCCTCAAACTTAATGTTTCCCCAATATTCATCTAATTGCCTGCTCTGGTATTTATATACAGTCTCTGTGAGGGTAGATAGGAGCAAGCAGCCCAGGGATTGGAAATGCTTTATAATCCGACTCTCCCCTAGTCTTGCATCTTTTAAGAAGTGCCTTAAAACCCATCTCTTTAGGAAAGCTTATGGCCTCCAAGACTAACCCCTACCTCACATACCCGTCTCTTGCCCTCTCCTAAAGGGCAGCCCACCTTTTTTTGATTGCACATTCCTGTCCTAATGTGTCTTACACCCCACCTCCTATAGAATGTAAGCTCGATTGAGCAGGGTCCTCTTCAACCTATTGTTCCTGTAAGTTTATTTGTAATAGTCCTATTTATAGTTAAATCCCCTTTCATAATATTGTAAAGCGCTACGGAATCTGTTGGCGCTATATAAATGGCAATAATAATAATAATAATAATAATAATAATGGAAATCACTGAATATGGCTAAAACAGGGCTGACAGGCCAATCTCTAGAATGGGCTTTATTCACTAAACACTGAATTGTAGTGAGTTAAGAATAAAAAGAACAAACTAAACTGGACTGTGAGAGGGGTGGGGGGGATACTAGTTTGATTTATTACATCTTCTCCAAACTCTGAAATTCTGTTTCTAAGTTGTAAAATCTGTTCATTGATTTAGCCCTTTAATTCTTTTTTATTTATTTTTTTGTCAATCTTTTTTTTTATTGAGGCATAAAATTATATGGAGTACAGAATGAGAAAGGGGAGACGATAAAGTTTCATACATAACGGGTATAATACAATGCAATTTATATCATTTCTGAGTAACTGTTAGCCTCATTTTATAGTAAGAAGAGTAGTTCTAGTAAGTTTAGCGTAGTGGTAATGTAAGTGGTTAGACTCAAGTGAGACATCAAGCAGAGTTATAACAACAGTAACACTATACAGGCTAAACAGATAGGTATATTTTAAACATCGTTACCAAATATAGTCGAGTCTTAAGAGTCTACAAGGGACTAGGGACTAAAATAAAATGAAATATAAAGGAACGCTTGCTCATGTGCCTATCGAGTGAGTAATAAAGTTTAAACATTACGCTTTGCCTAGACGCTCTACACACATACATGCATGCTATGGCTAATCATTGTTTTAAGCGGTAAGTTAGTTTGTGATGTCCGAGCAGGCAGTAACAAAGTTAATGAGTGCTAGAAAATATGATTTAATACATGCTAATCTGAGCTGTGATCATGTTTAAGCATAGCACTTGTCTGAGTAGTCGGGTAATGTTGTCTGGGATTGCAAGGACTAGGCATGTGCGGAATATGCAATTAAGGTGAAAACCACTGGGCTATTCTTCAGTTGTAACTGGCTGCACCTTGCTATACGTGAGGGAAAACAAATAGATAACAGACTTAATAATAACATATCAGGATTTGCGAACCCGGAGCCGGTATGCTGGGTTAAGTCCCTGGTACCCATAGATGATCATGAGGGTAGTTACCAATCCGTCCGACGACTTGGGTACCCTTTCGGGGTCACCGGGAGGTTTAAGCATGAGTGACTGCCGTCTACCACTCCCGGTTCCCTGGTTTTGAGTACAAATTTCGGCTTGTCGTGTTTGCGGAGAGGGTAAGATGAGTTCAAACAGATGGATATCAGAGTGAGTGTGGAACTTGGGAAGGCCGGTAGGCATTAGGGCAGTCCTTTAAGGGAATCCTGTTGCCAGAGACAGTCCATTGGCACTTGCAGGGGTTCGGTGCCATAGTAGTGGGGTACAGTGGTGTGTGCCAGACGACCCCTCCTAGCTCAGCTGATGCCCAAGTGCGGAAAGTTCTCGATGGCGGTTAGGAATTTACCGGTTGTTTCACCGTTCCGGCTCAGTCGTGCGTTTTTCTTCCGCTTGTGGTCGTGTCATATGGAGTAGGGCTTGGAGCAGCGTGTGCGGTTCGGTCGGGGCGAGGCAAGTCCACCCTCCAACCCCGGGCCAGGTTGAAGGCCGACATCTTCGTTCCACGGACCCAGTTTCCTCGAGAGGCCGGACAGCCTCCCTGTGCATAAAGTGGTCTACTGAGCTGTAGAGGGTTGCAGTGTGCTCGCTTGCAGTCTCTGTAGGCCAGTGTTCTGTTGTCATTTTGGTGAGTGCGGCTAGGTCCAGGTTCTGCTGTATGGTTAGGTGCGGTATCAGTCGATTAGTACAGTCCAGTGGGGACCAGGATAACCCCCGCCGGTCCGGGGGGGGGGGGGTGATTTACCGGGGTTTCAGCATTAGCTTATGAGCCCGAGAATCAGCCGCTTCCTCTGCCCACCCTTGGTAGAGTTAGTATCTGAAGTTGTTTTTTTAATAAAGGAATGAGGTGTTAAGGACATAATAGACAATTTAGTAAAATGCCTATTTACTTCATTAAACTAACCAAACTCACATTATAACAATGACTACTCAAAATGGCCGCTATAAGTTACCCCTCCCGTCGACAGTATACAAGATGGCGCTGGAATCTGGGGGAGAACTTTATGACACTAGTCCCACTGCGTGATGTTATGATCAGTAGGACGTGCTTTGACTAAAACCACTTAACACCTAACCAATTATTGATGTATTCCTCTCTGTTATCTGTAATTAGGCATATGATGTATTAGTGCTTTATAAGGGGGTCCAACCCCCGAAAATAAACATTCCTCAGTTGATTCATTAACCAGAACCTTGTATCTGGTGTGAATTACTCGGGAAGTGTGCACGCAGTATAACCTTTTAATCTGAGCAGGGGCAGATACTCAGGATATCATCAAACGCTTGGTTTGATTTCCCCAACAATTTGGCGCCCAACGTGGGGCACCGTGGTTTTGCTTTGCGCCAGCCGGGCAAAGGACCGGGAGCATACCTTCGAAGACGGGGGGGAGTCTGATCAACTCCTAGGATACAGTAAATAAATATTATTTGATGATTTGCCTGTATATCATGTCTTTTGAGATAGGTTTGCGACTGTGCCAGCTCCGGACGTGGCTGAGCGTCAAGGACAGGTGTGCTTCTTGCCCGGTGCCCTTTTCCCTTCCCTGAGAACCTGTCACACTGTTTATCTGCCTCCTTGGTATGGGTTCTGAATGTGTGATTGTTGTTGTTGCTTGAGTAACCAGGTCTTTTCTTTAATTGCTAATCAGTTGTTGTTTATATCCGTTATTGTTGTGTTTTTGTATTATTGACATAGACCTAGCTTGGATAGGAGCGGTACAGACCTAGCTTGGATAGGAGCGGTAAAGTCTTAGCTCGGTGGGAGTGGTAAAGTCTATTGTTTTGGCTCGGATTGGAGCGGCACTTTATTTTCCACTAGATATATAGACCTAGCTTGGTGGGAGCGGTTCAGACCTAGCTCGGATAGGGGCGTTAGAGTCTATAGGTTAGCCTGGATAGGGATGGTTAGCTGACTCAATTAGTGATTGTTCTGTATTATGCTCAAAATACTGCTGTACTTTGTTGCTTTGACCTGGTTGCTCTGCTGGAATTGCGTGTTGTGTGACATCATTGCGGTGGTGTGGAGCTTATGGTTCCTTCTTGATTTGTGTACAAGTGTGCACGTTTTTATTTGTAATACTTGCAAGTTTTCCCTCTTTGGAATTTTTACATTCTCTTTTTCATTCCCTCTTTTCTTGTACTGTGAATTTTACCCAGAACACTGTTGAATTCTTTAAAACTTGTGTCTGTGTCAACCCTTTGGGTGTGGAAAGGTTTGTTGTCGAACATGGGTCAGGAACAGACAGACCTACTAAGGGCCGTTTGGCTTGTGATATTGTTAGAGAGAGAGCAGTAGAGGAGGCTCCATGCCGATCCCCACCCAGAATATTACCAGTCAGGAGCTTTTTTTCTACTCCAGCTCACCCTGAGCCGTCTCAGCGTGCTGTGGTGCCTAATCATCTAGCATTGCCCACCCCCCAACCAAACCACCACTACACAGGGCCAGATCAGTCCCATCTGGACCTTGTGCAATAGGTAACTGGCAAACCTGTGTCTAACACCCCTGTCATGGCAGTGTCTACAAAAGAGGGGTCCCCTAGCTACACATGTTACACATAGATGCTAGCAAGGAAGATTCAGGGGTCCCAGAATCTCCCAGTGCTCTAGGTCACGTCCCAGCCCAACTTTGGTCTACTGGGACTGATGACATTGGCCGTCTACAAGTTCCTCCTGTGATTGTCAAGCTCTATGAAGGTGCAAATCCACCACGTAGACCTCAGTATCCTTTGAAACAAGCTCAGGCATTAACCATCTCCAAACAAGTTGAAAGTCTGCTTGCAAAAGGAGCACTTGTCAAATGTGTCTCATCCTGTAATACTCCTCTATTTCCAGTGAAGAAAAGGACCGAGAAAGGACAACCTGACCAATACAGAATGGTTCAAGACCTCCGTGCTGTTAATGATGTCACAGTAAAGGACACTCCACTTGTTCCTAATCCTCACACCTTGCTCTTACAGGTACCCCTAACTACCAGGTTCTTTACGGTTGTTGATTTGGCTAATGCTTTCTTCAGTGTTCCACTACATCCCTCTTGTCAGTATCTTTTCGCCTTCACTCATGATGGTCAGCAATACACATGGACTGTTATGCCTCAAGGGGCTCAAAACTCGCTTACACAGTTTGCTCGAGCTATGTCTATGGTTCTAGAGCCTTGGCAGAAAAAACACCCAGAAGCTGTTCTACTTTAATATGTAGACGACCTACTGCTTTGTGCAGATGACCTCCCCTCTGTTGAACGCCTCTCAGAAGATCTACTCTGTTTCCTAGCTGCACAGGGCTGTAAAACCTTGAAGAAAAAGTTACAGTGGTGCTGGCCCTCTGTGGTCTTCTTGGGACATTGTCTTTCCCATGGCACCCATCATCTGACCCAAGACAGAGTTCGAAGCATCATGTCTATTGACTACCCAGCAAGTCACCAATCAATGCATCCCTTCCTCTGCCTCGTTTCCTACTGCAGAGCCTGGATACCAAAGTCCTCCAATCTGATGCAGCCTCTCTATAACACTGTGAAAACAGAACCCTTCTCACTGTCTCCTGAAGCACGCAAGTGTTTCCATGCCCTACAAAGAGCAATTTCATCAGCTCCAACATTGGGCCTTCCCAATTACCAGAAGCCTTTCAAACTCTTTGTTTCCGAGAAATTGGGTCATGCCTCAGGCGTTCTAACTCAATCTCATGGCTCCCGCCAACGACCCATCGGATATTTCTCATGCCAGTTGGATCCCGTCGCCAGGGGTGGGCCATCCTGTCTTCGTGCCATCTTTGCTGCAAGCGCACTCCTAGATAAAACCAATGACATTGTACTTGGACACAAACTCACTGTCCTTGCTCCTCATGACATCGTAGCAATCCTCAATCAAGTCCAGCCCAAACACCTGTCTTCACAACGACATCTTCGCCTACAGACTACTCTACTGCTCCTGGACAACGTCACCTTACAGCGTTGCTATTCCCTCAATCCAGCCACTCTTCTGCCACTTCCCGAGGGGGGGATACTGACCTATTGGTACAGCCTTGACATAAGTTTCGACGTCCATTTTGAATTACAGGTACAGAAACCTTCTGTCCCACATGATGTACAGCCTGAAGAGTACCTACACTGTACCCTATGGTTCCGAAATACCCCTGGGCCAGATCCACACTATGAAGAGGAACTATTCAACCTGGTGGAAGTACAAATTCTTTTAACAGACCTGTTAAGTGACACAAAGGGTAACAATGTGGTCTTGGTCCAACTTTCATATTGAGATGAGTCACTTGTTCCATCATTGGGAGGTGTCAGTCCCACATGTATCCCTAACTAAATCACCAGACATCTCTTGGAAGGAACTCGGTCCATTAGCAAAGGCCTGGAGTACAGCGAGTCTTGAGCAACTCACGGCGGAAGGAGTCACTAAAAGAGCTGTGAACTGCAAAACTGTCAGCTTCCCCAGATATCACACGGAGATAAGTGATGATGTTCCTCCTACCCAACAAGACCCAGACGCACCTCATGATTGTTTTGAACAGATGAAGATGGAAATAACACATCTCCTCACAGTGCATGAGGTTGCTTTACCAGATCCTGACTTTACCATGTTTGTGGATGGTTCTAGGTCTGCGGACAACAAAGGGAGGTATCACACTGGATTTGCCGTAACCACTCAAGATGAGGTCCTTTATGCAGCACTCACAATGGCATGTAAGATGTCTGAAGGAAAACGTGCTAACATATACACCGACTCAAGATATGCTCTAGGTGTAGCACACGACTTTGGATTGATCTGGAAAACTAGGGGTTTCCTCACAGCTACACCAGTCAAGCATGGAACAGCTATCAAACTGTTGATGGATGCTCTGTTACTCCCGGAGGAAGTGGCCATTCTGAAAGTGAAGGCCCGTGGGAGGTTGAATACTGAAGAGGCCCATGGCAACTACTTAGCAGATCAGGCTGCTAAACATGCAGCACGTCAGTCCAGGGAAGTGGGCAGAAGAGTGTCCGCCGAGGAGTCCTCCTTGTATACCATGCAAACCCTACCCACAGACCTCAAACTCCTGAGGGAACAAAGCTGGAAAGATAAAGGAGCCACCTTCCAAGACGGTATATATACCATAAATCTTAAGGTTTGTCTGCCTAAGAACATGTACCCATCAGTAGTTCAATGGGCGCATGGAGCAGCCCATCTGTCTAAACGGCTCATGAACTC